CATCCAGTAGAAATTCCTTTTTGTAATATATTATAAACCACATACATATTAGAAAATATAATCTAAGACATAAATTATATTTCAATATTTTTTAAAGATTTACTTATTTTATGTATATGAGTGCACTAGTTGCATGTCCACCTACATGCCAAAAGAGGGCATCAGATTCCATTACAGATCCCTGTGAGCCACCATGTAGCTGCCTCTGGAAGAGCAAACAGTGCCCCTAACTGCTGAGCCATCTCTTCAGCCCCATAAATTTCTTACAATTGTTAAGAGTTTCTGGAGGATACATCAACTTACCTCAACTGAAAAAACAAAAAACTTATGATTCCTTAAATTATTTTTTTCCTCATAATAAAAGTTGATAACACACTAGAATGAAAGAAGAATGAGCATCACTGTGCATTTCCCAGATGTTTACTGCCACGGCCTTCTTCCTAGTATGATCTGGCCACTGCTGTTCCTCAGTAGCCAAGCCTCAGCTACACGTAACTTTCAAACCCCAATTCCCAGCCTCACCACAGCATCTGCCTTTGCTACCTTCCATCATACACTATACTTTCTCAAGCCATTCCTATTCTTGCTAAGAAAAGCGCTCATTGGAAAGTAAAATTAATTCTTCTTTTTGAGATTTGCCTGCTAATATCCATGTGTATAAGAAAGCTTTCAATACAGAAATATAAACAAGTCAAATTGCAGCACAAATTGTTCTGCATTTCTAGACATCAGGCTCACAGTGACCTCATGTATTCGTGATGCTCCAAAATATCCACAATGTTGTGACTTAGAGCAATCTTCAGTGTAAAGCTTGCCAACTTATAATTTAAGATACCAAATATTAAAACATCCCATTATTTCATAATTCAATTATGCAACTCTACCATATCATAATTTTATTCTCAAAATCAACATCTATCTTGGAAAATATATTAAGTCTATAAAATCCTAAATGCTCAAATATCTGAAAAATTTTAATGCTGACAGGGCACAAGTGAAAAATTCCATATATGGTTTTATGTGACAAGTGCTGGTCAAAGTATAAGGCACATTATAAATATTTTATAATTACCTTTAGGCTTTGTGTTTAAGGTTTACGTAGAACATACAAAAAGCCTCATGCTTCAGTTTGAGTCTTATCAATAAAATGTTATTATGTATAGGGAAATAGCCCCCAAATTTTAAAATACCCAAACATTAAACATGTCTGGTCCCAGGCATTTTTTAAAAAAGAATTACTTATTTATTACATGTACAGTGTTTTGCCTGCACTCCAGAAGAGGGCACCAGATTTCATGTTGAGCCACCATGTGGTTGCTAGGAATTGAACTCAGGACCTTTGGCAGAGAAGTCAACGCTCTTAACCTCTGAGCCATTTTTCCAGCCCGGACCCAGGCATTTTAGAAAAGAGATATTTCCCCCTATCCTCTTAAGAAAATCTATCTGATAAAGATCAGTTTAATGTTTAATGTTGATAAAAATAAACGTATAGCAGGCTACGGTAGGTAAAGTACTTATTGCTCACGCATGAGAACTTGAGTGCATCTTCCCAGCAATCACGCAGAAGCCATGTACTGCAGCACTCGCTGACGACACTGCGCTAATGCGGATGGAGACAGAAAAATCCCGGTGGTTTTCTAGCCAGCCAATCTACCCCAACGTCCAGCTCCAGGTCTAGTGAGAGTCTCAACCTCAAAAGATAAGGTGGAGAGGTTGAATAGATGGTACAGCAGTTACAAGCACTAGTTGCTCTTGCGAAGGACCCGGGTTCAATTCAGTTCAGAACCATCAGTAACTCCCTCTTGTGGTCTCTGTGGGTACTGCATGCGTGGTGGGGCACATACATATAAAATTAAATGAAAAGGAAGAAAAGAAAAAATATAGAAAGAAAAAAAAGAAGAAAGGTAGAGAAGAAAAGGAAGACCATTAACACTGACCTGACTTTCACATGTGCATGCACACATGTGCGCACACACATACACAACTTAGATTTATCAAGGTAGACCTGTAAATGATGAGCTTACACAGCGTTAGAACGTGATCCCTTGATGGGAGGATGTGCCAACAAAGTAGACATTTGCTACATATATGTGAGCACAATGTCTCCTAAGGGCTAAGCACTTGTACATCTTACCATTGTTCCTACTATGTGCGAGAAGACTGAAAACATCATTCTACCAAAAACTATAATGAACTCTATGGACTCTACAATATTTCATGAATTTGCAGTAACATTTCAAACTTCAAATATAAGTGACCAGCTGAACCCCAGTCAAACTCTGCCACTTGGATCCAGTTTAATTTTTCCCCTTTATTAATTACAATTTGACACCCTGGATGATTTCCCCCAGTGTTGGTATAATGTTCTTGTGGAATGTATACAATTTACCCGTATTCATTCAAATGCTGATTTCTCTACCCCACTATCTGGTTTCAATCTGGACATTGCATTGAACCATGAAGAGAGATGAACCATACCTAAGATATGACTAAAAGCAAGTATAATGTGGGAAATCTGAATGAGAGAAAACTAGGCAGGCTTGGAGGTTTATGATGGAGTAGCTATTGCCCAGCATTGTGCTCTGGGTTAATTAAATAAATCCTAGTCTCTGTGTGGTGATTTGGGTATACAGCAGGTTTAGAAATAACCACTTTTTAACTAAAAGATAAACCAATAATAAATATTAATAAGCCAAACACCCCAGGGTATGAGAAGTATCAGCACTTCAAGGGTAGGGAAAGAACACAAGACAGAAGATGAATGGTTGTAATTTAAGCAGTAAGGCATGATATAAATCATGGCACATCTTAACTTATGGCAGCAAATCAAGATAAAAAGCATTGAACAGTGGATATGTAATGTACTGGAGGCTTCATTAAGATGTTTTGAAAAGATTTAAAGGCAGATGGTAAGTATCTGACAAGATTACAGAAATACATAAGAGAAAGTATGAAAAATGACAGACAGAAAAATCATGGAGACAAATGGAATGTCACAGCAGGTGAGAAAAAGAGGTTTCTTCAGACACTTTAAACTGCCAAATGACAACAAAATGAAATCAAAGACCAATTTTCCTAAAGCAGTCACTGTAAACTCTGATCTATCTGCAACACTCAGACTTCAAGAGCCCATAATAAAATGCTAGCAAATAGATCTGAGCAAATAGACAAGAACATGAAGGAACAGTACTATGACACAGAGATCTAGAATGAGAGCGAGAACAATGGCAACCACAGGAACAGATACTATACCTCACCATACGAAGATTAAAAACCCTATGTAACAGTTTCCCAATATTCTGAAGACAGAATGGAAGAAATGAACAGTGAGCAACATCCTATGTGTGTCATAGGTATTCTAATACAGAACAATGCAATTATACGTTTCTTCAGTGTCTCTGAAACACTGCAAAACCAAAAATCCATGTGCCCTCTCACTTCTAGAAACTTACACATCGCAACTACTATACACACCAAATGGCTTGAATACAGCACTTATCTTTAATTACTATTGTTTAAAGATCAATCATTTTTATTCAATCAAGGTTAATAAATCCAGGTTTTTGTGCTCTCATTTTTCCTAATATTATATACTATCTAAAGTTCAATGAAGGCCTGCTCCATGAGCAAATTTGGACCAAATTCAAGATGTTTTCACTATCTGTATATTTTGGTATTTTTGAAGCAGGGTCTTAGTCTGTAAGCCCAGGCTGTCCTCAACTTGCACCTATCCTCCTGCATCAGCCTTCCAAGTGCTGGGACTACTGATATATATCATCAGTTCCAACAGCAATTTTTTATGATTCCTAGGTTGTGTGTGTGTGTGTGTGTGTGTGTGTGTGTGTATGTATGTATGTATATACATGTATGTATGTGTGTACATATGTTTATATAAATCATTACAACTATTCTTGAGATACTTATATCAAATTAAGATGAACAGATAAGAATGAAATTGGCTGTATAAACATAATCAGCTATAAGCAAGCGGTACAATCAGCTTCTTTAAAGTCCTGGTGCCCATCTGCAGTTTTCAGAACAGGGAAGATGTACAAGATACCCAAGCCAACTTCCCAGCACAAGAGGCAGAGGGGAAAATACTGAGGGGAACTTTCAATCTGCTTCTTTCCTGAACCACATTCCCAAAGCACATAGTTTCCTCTGACATTCTTTCAGCCCTTTTCATTAACCTGAGTTTATTTTGATGGCTTATTTTGATTATATTCTCAGCTAGGTAAGCCCCTCCTTTCAGCCTTTCTTAAGTGAACCCTAGAATTCTTCTTGTGGGGGGCTTACTTTTTATATGCTATATTGATCCTGTTTATATCCTGTTCATTTACTGTTCTTAGTTATTAGATTTCTCAATAAGCACAAGTGGATGGCTCCGGAGCAAGCTTCATTAAATACAGACACTGTACTTCTCTATCACACAGTTGAACCCGTAGGACTTACAATGTGCTGAAAGGTAGAAGCAAACCTGTGAAAAATGACAGCAGAGCAATGCATGCGCAGGCCTAAGAGGCAGGGACATAACTCCTAACAATTCAAACCAGCTGCCTGCCGGTATGAAATGGGAACACTTCAGGAAGAGAAAATGACAATGGAACATCAGAAATGCTTTCATTTGCAACAATTATCTTGGCTCTCAGTTCGGCAGACAATAGTTCATAAGCTTAACACTCTGGCAGAAGGGTAAGGTATCCACGGTCAGTGTTTGCGAATTTGGTGTTCCACCATATTGTGAGTTAATACTTAACTAGAGTCCTCATGTCAAGTATAGTCTGGGAGACTCCAGGTGAGTAAACCAAGCTCTGACAGACTGCTGCTGTGAGAGCTTCTGCCCTGTTCTAGTCACTCCTGTGATGTTCTTATTAACAGCAAGAGGCAGTCTGAGAGGCAAACAAGACATATATTTTCAAAAAGGAAAGAAAAAGTCATCACAAAAGAATCCTGACGTGTCTTATACTCTCCAAGAAAACAAGTCTCCCTATTGTCCTCACCAGTAAACAACATCCAGTGGTGCAAAGTAATTCTTCATTATCAGGTCAGCAAAGTACGCTTCAGTTTCCCGGCAGGCAGTTCCATTTCCAATCACCACTGTGCTGCAGCTTCAAGGGAGGAACAGAATAAAAACCTGGATGAGTTCAAGGCACACTCGGAAATCAACCAGAGAAAGCATACGGAATGCACAAAGTGCTAGACGCTACTCTTACTCTCACATGCGTCCATGCAGCCTCTCCACTGCTCTAGACTACCATATGGCCCTGCATTTGGTCAGGAGGCAAGGGGACAAAGAGTTCTACTGTCACCTTAGAACAGTCAGGCAGTTTCTTTTCTTGTCTACAAAGAGCCAAAATAAACAGAAGTAAACTCAGGCTCATTCCAAGCCATAATAAAAAAATACAACTAATTATATGATGTTAATTTCTGTAGTTCTAACTACTACAGTATCCCTTCTTCAGGGGAGAAAGGAAGGAAGGTAAGAGGGCTAGGGAGGCTCTCCCAAGTACCACATCATCAGCTCTATTTAAAAGAGGGCAGAGAAAGGGAAACTCATACCCTCTCCATGTATGCGTTCTTGAACAATTCACCCCAGCATTGTGCTCAAGGTTCCTTCTTTCTCCCCAGGTATTTCCCTTACTCCCAAACTCCAAATTAGGAGCTACAAAAGTACCTATGATGGCAGAGCCACTAAAGTACTAAACAGGCTATTTATTTTCTTACTTGAAATCCAGCAAAAGCCTCTTGATCTTCTCTGCCTCTCGGAAGCCTTGCCCACAGTGCAAATAAACCACGTCAGTATGAAGTATCTGACCTTAAAAGGAGGGTAGGAGGTGTAAAAAGATGTTTGCAAAGTATAACTCACTACTGTTTCTATTAAGCAAGTCACAATAGAAAATGAAACTGTCTTATCTTCTCAAATGCAATCTGAGGGTATGTGAGATGCCTCAGAAGGTAAGTATGCTTGGCACCGAGCCTGACACCCTTAGTTGGTTTCTGGGACTCACACAGTGAAAGAATAGAAATGACTACTTCAAATCTCCTCTGACCTCCATGAACGAATGGCTGTACATGTTCACATCCACACAAATTAAAATGTAAAAGGGATCATTAAAATGCAGTCTGAATCATCCATATTCACTAGATCAGGTTTTTCTGAAGCATTAAAAAATGCTGTTACTTTCAAAGTCAAAGAACTCCGCATTTCCACACAAAATCGTTACCAGGTGGGCAGTGTGCTACGGCACCTACAGGAGACATAGTTTTTTCAGTAAACTATGAAGTAAGACCTCACAGTAGCTACAGCTCACACTAACTGGCTACCTGCTACAGATCACGCTCAATTATACTCTTCTTTTTCTTTTCAGTTGTCAATATAAAAACTTGTTTATTCTGCTTCTCTGAGCTGTAGATTTTAAAACTTCAGGCTTTTTTCTATCTTGCATTATGCATAAAGTATCTTATTTTTAACTGAAGTAAAGTTTCAGGGTGATCACTCAATGGACAGAAATAAATGAGCCGAGTAAACACAACAGGGAGCTGATAGAAGAACCACAGGATAAGTAATGCCCAAGAAAGTAAAGGCTAAGAGATCAGTGACACTGAGCACTGAGAAGGCTGACTTAGGGAGAGTGCTTCAAGTTCTAGGCCAGATAACCTCACCAAAAATAATAAATGAAAAAAGGGGGAAGGCAAAAGTATAACAAAAAGGAATTTAAAGTAAAATATTTTTCAAAAAAAATGCTTTCAACAGTATTGATTAAGAAAGGGAAGATATAGAAGACCAAAAGAGTCAAATAACCTAGGCCCAGGGGGACTTACGGAGACTGAAGCACGAACCAAGGACCATGCATGGATTGGAGGTAGCCTATGTGCAGCTTACTCTTCATGTGGGTTCCTACTAAATGAGGCAGGAGCTGTCTCTGACATGTGCTTTATTGGCTACTTTCTGACCATGACACCCTGGTGGGAACTCCTTGCCTGGCCTCAGTCAAGAGGATGTGCTTAGAATGTGCTGGGGTAGGTTTGGGGGGCTCCCCTTTCCTAAAGGGAGAGAAGGGGATGTAGGAATAAGAGAGAGGGAAGGTGGGACCATGAGGAGAGTTAAGGAGGTGGATACAATCGGGATGTAAAGTGAATAAATAAAATAAAAAAGAAAAAGAAAAAGGACCATACAAATATATTAGAAATAAAGAAGGTATATAAAGAAAAAGAAAAAGGATCATACAAATATATTAGAAATAAAGAAGGTATATAACCAGGGCTACAACAGCTTTAAAAAAATGAGACTTAGAGTAAATGATGAAACAGAAGTCCTGAACAAAACTTTACCAACGCAAACTTGAGAAAAAACTTGTGTTTCAAATTATAACAAGAACACATTAAGGACAATACTGAAAATTAATCTACCAGTATGTCCAGAAGATGATACTATCTTAAAACAAGTGTAATCTGATATTCTCTTAACCACTGAGCCATCTCTCCAGCCCCGTAATCTGATATTTTCAAAACAAAACTCCTAGCTGGACCCAGAATCCCAACAGTCAGAAAGCTAAGGTAGAAAGATCTCAGTTGAGGTTACATACTGAAATTAAGGCTAGCCTGGGCTACAGACTGAAGCTTGTTTCAAAAATAAAACAGTAAGAAAAACATCCAAATACTGTGATTTATCACAGTGGCACAGTAAAGGACAAGCACCTTAGTGAATACAGGAAAAATAATGATACTGTTGACCCTTTCCATACATGAGAAAAATTAATAAAATAAATGACAACTAGGAAAACAAAAAGCAAAAGCCATGGTTGTATCTATAACAAAGGTAACAAACAATCCCCACAAAACCAAAACCCCAAGCAGGTGGGAATGGCACAGCACAGCTAAAAGACCTCTGCGGGAGGTCTCTAAGGGACAGAGTAGAGCAAAGCAACAGAGGTTGTGATGGACTGAGAGAGGCGCTCCCGTACTGGACAGCACAAGAGTCAGTCTGAGAAGGAGCTGACCCTGCACCAACCCAGCACAAAGGCTGCCAGTAACCTTCTGAAGACTGAGAAATTGATCCTCATGAACTCCGGAAGCTACAGAAAGACAAAGTATCAGAGTGCAAAGAAAGAGCTGGGACAAGAACTAAACCAAGCAAGTCAAGGACAGACTGAGATTAAAGAGGAGATAGCTACAGAGAGCCTGTCCAAGAAGCCATTAGGGCCCCTGTCCACACTTGGCCTACAGGTGACTTTTCTAATCACCGGCACACATTAGAGAAAGCTAGTTTTAAACAGTGAGAAGCCTGTCCTGACCCAGCTTACCTTCTTGAAAGTACTGGAAATATAACCTAAGCAAAGCAAAAGAATGACAGACATGACAAACTGAATACAGAAAGATATTTGCTTTACAGCAGAAAATAAAAGTCTAGCATGATATGCCCACAAAACAGAGCAAGACATATGAAAATAAGATTTTAAAGAGAATGTTAGAGAAACTATGAGGATAATAATACACATCAGAATCATAAAATGAAATATCACATGAATGAAATATCAAGAATTAATTTCATAAGGAATAGAAAACACAGTTCTGGATTTGGTACCACATGTGCCAACCCTGGGACAATATAGAGAAGGCCAGCATGGGCCTGTGAAAGGACAGTATGAAATAAGAAAGCTCCAGAGACAAAACCAGCCTAAAGATACAAAACATATGTCCTCAGAAAGAAAGCAAGAGATATCAAAGACAACAAACTTATAGTGAAGATCACGTACATCTATATAACTAAAAGAAATTCTAAAAGTATAAAAAACTAAATAAAGAGATATAATACTATAATAACATTCCGGAGTAGAGTTCATGCAGACACATTCACACTGTTTTATGGTAACACAAAGAGAAAATTTTGGCACCAGAAGGAAAAGGACATGACTTTTAACAGGAACACTTATAAGACTCTGAGTTAGACATGGAGGTAGGTAGACAGACAGATGAGTATTTAAAAAATATGACATCTTTAACTACCAATAACCAATCCTCACATCTGACCCTAGTTAATGCTTAATATATTTCAATCCCCTGACATGCAGGAAGGGGATAGATATATGATGGTCCGAGAGTTCTGACCCAGAAATGAGGGAATACTCTGATTCCCACTGTCCCATGAGAAAACAATTTCTAAACCACAAAAACAAACATTAGTTCCAAATCTTCACGAAATCTATTAAGTGAAACTTAGGATCAACCAAAAAGCTCTCACAGGAAAAGCTCAAGAACTTACTCGTAGGAGAAATGATCGCTAGTTTGCATCCGTGTTTGTAGCCAGGATCTACTCCCATCAGGGTGCGGCCTGGAACAGGACTTGTTAAAAGGAGTTGGCGGAGGTTCTGTCCAAACAGCATTACTGACTGCTTCTCTGCATCCGATGTCAGTTTGGCTCTTTGGAAATGGAACAGAAGGGGATGACAAAAAAAGTACTTAATTTTTCATTCATCTAAATTTTCTTCGTAGAAAATGAGCAGAATTTATTTTGTGTGTTCATTCCTCAGGGAAAACATCCCACCCCTGAGTAATACTGGGTCTCCATTTGCTACTTTCTGCCACAGCAATATGACACCACAAACAATTCTGAAGCAAATTGTCAAGTCTTCATGACTATCTTCTCTAACTGCTTTGTTATACACAAGTCGTGAGTTAAATATGAATATACATGAGAAAGATCTGTAAAGATTTGCAAATCAAATTAAAGTTTATCAGGTGATTAAAAATAGAAACCCAAAGCAAGAACGACAAAGCGCTGCACTACAACAGCCTCCACCACCACTATTTAGTTCAGTACTTTGACTTGAGTCTCAATGGCATTGTCTACGCTCCTCTCCACGGCTACTGTTCATCACCCTCAGGCACTCAGCAATGCCACAGACCCTAACGGCTAGTACAGAACCAAGCAGCGTGTAATCATGCCTCTGTTTCATCTAGAAACTGCTAGAAGTATACTTTTAACACCTTGTTAAATAAAATAAGATAAAATATATAGGATAAAAATATAAGTCAATGATAGGCCTAAACGTAGCTTGGAACTTAAATCCCTCAATGTGTCACCTCTTGAAATATATAAGAATTATGTCATAAGAAGCATTTCTTTTCTATTAGGCCAAATAAGACATAAATGTCATTGGCTACAAGAAAACTGAGTACAAAGTAATTCAAAATGTGGTGTGTGTGTGTGTGTGTGTGTGTGTGTGTAGGGAGGGAGGGATTTACATATGTGAAGATGCACACTACTGTCTGTTTCTCTGGCTTATAAGGATTTGTTCTAAAGATTTTCTCTCAACATCTCTTAACACTTCACTGTAATTACCTAACTTCTGCAAAACAGGATAAAAAATATCATTACAAGTATTGTAAATCTCATTTTGAACTTAGCTTATTGTGAAGTCATTGGTCAATAGTCTTTTCAAGGAACAATGATTGATTTAAGAGACACAAAGCTGAAAGTGCACATCCTTGCCCTAAAGACCACTGCATCCTGGAGGAAGCAAAAGAACAGACAGAGAAGACTAAAACAATGAGGAGTAATAGGAACCTAAGCCAGGAGCAGCTCAGGCGAACAAGCAATAAAAGTGTGCAGGGTACACAAACAAAGGTGGGGACAGTAGACTGATAACCTAGAGATGACTCTGCACACAGAGTGGCATAGAAGTCTACAGCATTACAGAAGAGGAACATGCTCTTGCTTACCCACAATGTAAGCCAAAAAAGGACTGCTTCCTACAGAATCCCACACCACACAGCTTAGCTGCAATGAAATCATTCCATATGCTATAAAGCAAAATGTCAAAATACCAGTGGATGCTGAATGCAACATGGAAAAAACAAGGAAAGAGAAAGAAGTACCACATTGAAATTTTATAAAAGATTATTTTTCCCTTCAAAACAGAATGAATGGGGCCCAACAGTTCACTTGCTACATAATCATGGCAACTGGAGTTTGGATCCTAGCACCCACATAACAAGGTGGGTATCTTAAAAATTCCTGTTACCCCAGCTCCAAGCAGAGTGTAGACAAGTATATTGCTATGGCTTGCTGGCTTTCAGCCTAGCTCAGACACAATCCCCACATTCAGAAAAAGATGTCCATTTCAAAAGGGTACGTGCACACAAGCACATACCTTTCTTCCTCTGCACACCAACACTGCACCATGTATATACATGTATACACACTCACATGCACAGACACACACAAATAAATAAAAGAGCATAGCCCTTAAAGTTCATGCTATAGCAAAAAAAGCCAGAGACTTGACATCACATGGGTAACACAGAATTCCAAACAGAAGTATCTGTAGGCTACTTAGACTATCAAGGATGAAAAAAGACAATGTGGTACAGAGCAAAAGAAATTGAGCAATGGAGCTCCTCATCTTTAGAGCCCTACTTTGGACACTTTGAACTCAAAGGCCAAATGTACAAGGGAGGAATAGAAAAACACCAGTCAGCTAGAAATCCTAGTGAGCTGACAGGACGCTGCAATTCCACCCCCACCCCCACACCCCGCCCAGGGAACTTGTCTGAAGCCTACTTTAAAAAGTAGGGAAGAAGGTGCTGCTGATCCATGGTCCACATAAAGGACAGCATGAAACCATGCTGGTCACTGGGAACTCAGCTACCAAGACAGCAGTAAGAGAAAGTCAGGAGAGAAAGCAAGGCTCTGCTGCCCTGAGACTGTTCCATCTCTGCTAGCAGCACATCTGCACCTCACGACTTCCCATGAGCCTGCTGGCATGGTTCTTTCAATCACCTCTCATCTGTGCTAGCCATTGCTCATCCAGACAATTCCCACTGGGAGATGAACACACACAATTGCTTTCTCTCCTCAAAAGAGTAAGATCGTCTCGTCCCTCACCAAGTTCCTTATGCTTTCTTTGGCTGTATTACCTCCCGAAAATGTTTCTAAGTAACCTCTCCATTAACTCCTCGGTTTGTTTTTCCCAAGCCAGATCTCTAATCAATAAAATCATGTTTGGCTTGGTTGTCAAACTGAAACATCAGCAATTCAAAATTGGAAGGGTGTAGACATTAAGTGTTCAGGACAAAAAAGTGTATCACAATTAAGAAGAATGCTCTAAGATACATAATGGGAACAAATCTACAGAATAAAACCAAGGCTCACACTGAAGACCTGGTTTGACTAAGTTCTTTAATGTGGTTCATATTTGCAAACATTTACTCCATATCCCATGAAGACCATACATAATGATAAACAGTTCACAAAATTAAACAAGATGCATACCTGAACTCTCTACAGAGGAGAGGAACAATAAGGCGTTTAAAAGAGTCATCCAGTGAATTATGTAAGATCTTCATTAACTCTGGCCGTGCAAAGCCACGTGGCCTCCACCTACAAGAAGGAAAAGCTTATGATAAAACTCAAGTGACCAGTCACGGAGGAAGGATCTCTGTGAGTTCAAGGCCAACCTGGTCTACAAAATGAGTCCAGGACAGCCAGAGCTACAGAGAGAAACCCTGTCTTGAAAAAAAAAAAAAAAATCTGACGTGACAATGAGAGTCCACAAAAGGGCACCTGAACGAGAGGAGTGGTGAACAGAGAGCGCCTGTACGGGGATCACAGTAACACAATCTGGAGGGAGAGGCTGTCCTGAGGCTGTGGTATCTTAAAGGGACTACATGTCAGGTGGAGGGGAGCTTCTCTTGAGGAGGAGATTGTTTTGTTTGGGGGTTTTGGTCTGGTTCCTCGCCATAGTATCACTGGTAAAAGTGAACTCCTGAGACATATGGAAGACACCAAGACATCCTTACAGCACAACTAGAGGCTGAATTTCACCTTCCCCAGCCCAAATGTGGAAGCCCTACCTAGTGTGAGGCGCCTACGAGGGACTACAGCAGCAGCAGCATTCGATAAAGCCAAACAGCCATTGCTCTGTCTGTGGCATGAAAAAGTGGCAGAAGTGCTCTGTCTCCCTATACCCTCTGTGACATGAAAAAGTGGCAGAAGACAGCCTCATGCAGGGCCTGAACTGTTAGCTCCTTGCTCTTCTACTTCCCCACCTCTAAGACTGAAAAAATAAATTTTTGTTGCTCATGCAACCCAGGCTATAGTGTTTGCTTTAACAGCTCTCCTCATTTCCTTATCTCTTCAATGAGATTAAAAATAGACTGCCAAGCCTTGGTTCTAGACACTCTCTTTCTCTTGGTAGAAAACCTTGACTTAAATCTTACATATCTCAAACTTAACAGAAAGTCAATATAATTTAAAGTTAGGTTCTAAAACCCAAAGACTGTAAGCGGACCCTGCTCTCACCAGCTTCTGAGCTCTTAATTTACCTCTTACACAGTCTCCTTTTCCATTTATTATGTGATACACCAGTGGAGTTATGTGTCACTGACAATAGGGTTTATGTTATATTATATCTAATAGTTCTCACCCTCTTCTTCCCCACCTCGTACACCTCAGATGAGAGGGACAATGTGGAGTGCTGTCCAAATGCTTGACATAGTTTAAAAATAAACAAATATGATAAAACAAAATTGCAGCAGATCCTGATGACATACTTTCAAAAAAGCTCAAAACCCATAAAACTAAAGTTAAGCCAAAGTTGAGCATCTTCAACTCAGTGGCAACATTTTGGAGCATCATCTGTGCACTTCCAAAGAGAACCTGACCTCCTGCTCAGGCCACACTATTCTACCGAGAGCATGTATGCACACTGACCCCTGCCCAGGCCACGCTCTCCTGCCCAGCAGCATGAAATCAAGCTGAACATAACCAACTGGACACTGGAGAAAGAACAGAAATGTGAAGAGAAGCTATCAGGAACAAACTCAACCACACAGACTCCATACCTGCATTCATACCTAGCATTTCTGCACCTACCCTTCAATGTCTTCTTCCACAGAAGCCATTAGCCAAGTCTGAATAGTTTTTAAGAAAGCTCATGTACCTTAAGGTGATCTCTTTGTAACTTATGCTAAAAATAAAACTTCAGTGGACACACAATAAAGATCACATAATAGCAAATAAATGAATCCCTTCCAAAGGATGTTAGGTCAGCAATGTATAGTTTTGTTTTCCAATTTAAACAAACGTGCTTTTAAGCAAGACATATATTACATCATTCTTTACACCCAAATCTCTGTTACTCTTTGGAAGCAGATAGATATAAGTATTCCTCTCCATTACATAAAAACCGGTTGGTGCTGGTGTTCACACTTTCAGACTTTCTGACAAGCCCATTACAACCTACCCAAGCTTCTACAGCATCATTCACAATGAATTCTCTTGGAAGCTCTTTTTCTTTTCTTGCAGTTACTTTTTCTCCTGTTGCTCCTTTAGCTCTGTGCTCAATAAGCAACTGAATTTTTCAATCCCATAATAATTATGGAACCAAAATCATATACATGTTTTGTCTAAGGCTACTTTATAAACACATGACTACTCTGAAGTAAAAGTGCTCTCCTCAGAGACAGTCAGCATTAATAATCTCTTATCCCCTTCAAAGATATTTTCTACTTAGGTATATTTCTCAAACATACTTACTTATTTGTTTTGGTGAGAGGCAGAGTTTTTCTGTGTAGTCTTGGCTGTCCTGGACTCACCTTGTAGACCAGGCTGGCCTTGAACTCACAAAGATCTACCTGCCTCTGCCTCCCTGAGTGCTGGGATTACAGGTGTGTACCACTGCACCCTGTGACTTTTCTTTATTCTTTTTTATTTTTTGTTCATACTTACTTTTTAAACATTAATTTATTAGACACACACAGAGGATAACTTCTAGGAGTTGGTCTCTCCTACTAGGGACCAACCTGAGGCAGCAAGTGCCACTAAGCAATTGCTCTGCCCCGTGCCTATTGTTTCAGTTCAAAAATGAAATAACATTATTGTCACTTGTTGTCCCTTGCTTTTTTTTAACATATTGTGCATCTTTTCATATCAATACACAATAATATCAGAATGGTATTTCAGAAAGCAAATTTTATGGATAGCCATAAACAGACCTGTTTTGTATACACCACCTACAAAATTCGTTCTTCACTCCGTCAGGAATGTTGACCTTCACTGTCAGTATCTTCAAATTCTCTCCTCGGTTAATGGCCAGAATCTGACACAAACATATGGCAAAGACTGACAATCAATGAAGCAATGAGAAACGTAACCAGTCAACATTTATGAAACAGATCAAGCACCTATCTAGCCAACAAGAGTATCATTTTTATTATTTACAAATGATGTATTAAAAACAATATTTATACTTTCCTCAAGAAACACATCTCTCTCATAAAGAAAATCATAGCAGGAGCTGGAGAAATGGTCAGTTGGAAAAGTGTTTGCCACACAAGCATGAGAACCTAAGTTAAGATCCCTAAATCTACATGGCAGCAGAGAATAAAGGCTTGTGCCTGTAATGACAGCAACAGGGCGGCAGAGACAGACAGGATCCTAGAGCTGATTGGTCAGCCGGCCTAGCCAAATCCATCAGCTACATGTTCAGTGAGAGACCTTATTTCAAAATCTAAGATGATAGGCTGAAGAGGTGGCTCAGGGGTTAAGAGCATTTGCTACTCTTTTGGAGGGCTTGAGTTGGGTTCCCAACACCTATGTCAGGCAGCTCACAACTGCCTTTAACTCCAGCTCCAAGGGATCCTACTGCCCCTGTCAAGCAAATACACGAGCTGCATGCATGGGCATGTGCATTCATAAACACACACTTCCTAAAATCCATTTATATATCGATTCATGTCAATTGACTAAAATCATCTCCACAGACTTACAAACACCTATAAAATCCAGCAGCCCTTCCTGAAGAAAACACTCAATAAACTGAGAGTTAAAAGTATTTTCTTAAACATGAGAAATCAGAGCTGGAGGCAGAAACTGAAGTTACAACTATGTGGTGGGATAAAACAGAATTATTACAGAAAACAATAGTAAGGAAAAAAGACTAAATACAGCAAAGGATGTGGCTCAACAGAGAAAGAGGCAACAAAAAAAGAACAAGGATTCAAGCTCTCCTGGGAGAATGCAAAGGCTGAGGAGGAACAAGTGAACTTAGTCGAGACAACGGCTACTGCAGCGCTGCTTTCCCACTGCCATCCATCACCCCACACCTCCATCTCTGAAGGCTCATCTGCTGGCCTATGTACATGGAAGATAGAAAGTATTCACGGCACAGAGACCAGAAAGCTGTCTGTTGACCAGCAGGACCGGCCAGGCATACGAGAACCTAAGAAGCTCTTAAAAACCCAGGAGTGTTTTGCAAACTAACATTCTAACACTACTCTATCTCCTCACGGTTGAGCACTCTCCTCTCCAGATGCCTGTATCATAATTTCACTTCAGTCACTAACTCAGACATGACATGTGTGAAATAAAATAGTTTAAATATACGCACACAAACAGACACACACACACAAGGATAAAATTAGATATCAAAGTCATTTCTGCAAAATAAATTTTAGTAAATTTATAGTTTTTAGTAAATTTATATAGTCACTGGTACATTTTTAGATATATTGTGTATGTGTCTATGTCAGCCACTGTATGTCTGTGTGTGTGTGTGTGTGTGTGTGTGTGTGTGTGTGTGTGTGTGTGTATTACTACAGATTAGAAGCCAGGGCCTCCCAGACTCTCTGCAACCTCTTTACCAGAATTATGCCCTCAGCCTTCCCTCCAGGCCGTATTACAAACCAATGTTTTATTATCTTACATCTGTAATCTGTAACTAGGTAATTGCAGCTGCACTGCATCTACACTTTTTAAATTACTGAAATTTTGCATTTCATCGCCTATGACAAATACAGTGCACAAAAAAGTAAAAGAAGCAACTTTAGACATAAGAAAGGAGGGATGGAGAGTGGTTAGATTCCTTGCAACTCTTACTGAGGACCAGAGCTCGGTTCCCAGCACTTACATGGAGGCTCACAACCATCTGTAAACTTACTTCCAAAAAATCTGATGCCTTCTTCCAGCCTCTGTGGGCACTAGGCATGTCATGTGGTACACATACATACATGCAGATAAAACATTTATGCACATAAAAATAAAAACAGTAGTGAACTATTTCAAACCTTCAAGGGCAGTGTCCATGTCATCTCTATATGGCAAAACCCACTGCAATATAAATACTCAAGTATCTGTGGGATGAGTGAAGACTTTTCATATCATGTTACAATGAGAAAAGTAAATTTCAGGTTTATGTAACCATATTTTTTAAATTGCATTTTCATAATTAAATAATTAACTATCACAGAAAAAGTAAAGAATTCTAACATGTTTCATTAGCCTGTTCTCAGCTGTAAAATGTAAGGAAATACATTTTGAAATGATTAGTGAGGACTTTCACTTTGGGAAAACACCAGCAGTCTCCTAACTCAAACCACCCCCTTGCCTCCCAAAAGAACCATAAAGCCAATAAAAAGAATAACTGAAACAACATAGGACGTCTTTAGCATTCATAGGACACAGAAAATTAGACTGGCATCAGATTTCTCAAAAGAACAACAACAACAAAAAACAAAACAGCATTCACTTTTTGGGGTAGCAGATGCATTATACTGTGAATCACTAAACATCAAACATGTGGTAAAGAGTGTACATTTTGTATTGTGAACATTTTACTACAGTTAAATTTAGAAAGAGGAGCTGGAGAGATGTCTCAGTGGTTAAGAGCACTGTCTGCTCTTCCAGAGGTCCTGAGTTCAATACCCAGCAACCACATGGAGGCTCACAACCATCTATAGTAAGATCTGGTGCCCCCTTCTGACATGCAGGTATACATGCAGATAGAGCTCTCATATTCATTAAATAAATAAATGTTTAGAAAATTTAAAAGGGAAATGAATTATGACTCCACAGCAAAATAAAATCTATGGAAGTCTGTCTCGAGTATATCTGTTCCACATGAAATATTAGTGTCCTTTAGGCTAATGAAAGACACTAAACCACAGCTCAAAGCCATATACAGAAATAAAGAACACTGGTTATGATAACTATTTATGTAAATACAAAAACCAGAGCTATTGTGTTTTTCATTTGTAATGCCTCTCCTGCCCCTGTGCTATTTAAATCAGATTCTGCACAGTAAACAGCCTATGACCATATTTAGTAAAATAAATTCTTAGGTAGATAAACTGAAAAATGAAATTAGAAGGCTGACATACAATGAATATGGTTCAAAAAGCCAAAGGAGACCATACACACTGTATTCTAAGTCAGGCATCAGACCGTGATTTTCTTGGGAACAATCTGTGTTCACACCTAAACACACTTGAAGCAGGGTCTAATATATGTCACCAGCCAGAAGCATGTCACGTGGACTATCACACTGTCAGCTCTGTTAAAAATTCTCAGTGTCACTAATTTCTCTGGGCCTTCACTTCTACATTTGGGAAATGAGGAAAATATGACACTATTTTACAAATCTTACACAAACTAGTCAATAAGACACTTGGCATAAAACGTCTCAGTTCCTAGGAAAGTGTTACGCTCATTGTTACTGCCCTCGGCATGCAGAGGCAGGGCCTTTATTTACCTGGTGATGGTGGATACTCCTTATGTTGCAGGAAAAGTTCTGGTAAAGCTGAAACTTATCAACATCTTTCTCATTTAGGTTTTTTGAGGGTACTTTTGCAAGAGAAGACTGGATACAAATGTATCTATGTTTGCACCTGGTCAGATACAAAAACATCAAAAATAAGCATTTACATTTATATGTGTTTTGCATTTTATAAATTTATATAAAAAGGACAGAAAAAAGCTAAACCATTATCAAATGAAATTTGGTTAATGATGCTCAAGTAAGAAATTGGCAGTACTAATCCATCAAAAGGACTCTGCCAGCCAGCACCTTTAGTACAGGGGATCTCTGTGAGTTTGAAGCCAGCATGGTCTACATCGCAAGTTCCAGGGCAGCCAGGGCTACATAGAAAAACCCTGTCTCAAAACACAATCAAGGTAGCATATACCCTGAGATCAATTTATGCATCAACATAAACTGTCCAAAGTGCCTGAGTTCAGATTTATCTATGTGCACAAAAGACTAAAATGATTAATGGGAATCAGATCAATCATCTAGTCACCCTTTTCTGATTAGTCAGGCATTCATAGTAAACTTAAATATAAAAAGGAGAAAAGGAATGAGTACCAGGAAAATTCAGAAAATTAGTACAATGGGTTAGAGAGATGGCTCACAACCAAAGAGGTGAAACTGGTAGAGGAAGGAAGGAAAGAGAGCTTTAAATTACTGTCTCTGTTCCCCTTGACCATGCCCCACCCCACTTCTCCTGCCTCTGCCTCCTCAGTGCTGGAATTAAAGCAGTATGCCACCATACCTTGCTTAATGTCTCTTTTAAATAATATCAGATAATGTAATAATAATGATAACAATACCCATTTTAAATGAAATAATAAAATGTAAACCCAGGCAGGCTCTGGCAAAAGCACTCTGATCCCATAAAACTATTGGCTGTGATGCCACCCAGGGGCAAGCTGTGCTCTCCAAAATGCACTTCTGGTCTAAATTTTCACCCATACCTGGTATCACACATTGTCACGGCATCCCAACCACAGGTGTGGCGATGGATTTATCAGTCTAACTAGATTCTGAAACACCCAGTAGACTAGTGAGACACACTCAGGACACTGGCATGCCTGTGAAGGGACTGCCTTCATGGTATCAAGGAGAAGGACCAGGAAAGTTCTACCAGGGATGTGGGCAGCATACTGTGATGAGGGATGGGTTCAGCACAGTGACCGCAAAAAGGGGGAAAAGAAAGAAAGGTAGCCGGCACTGCCTTCCCTCACAGGTTCCTGGCTGCCATCCTGTGAACTGCTCAGTTCCACCAGACCCTCTCTACTGTGCTGGTCTAAGGTTCGTGAATCTGTGAGTGAGAATAAACCTTTCCTCCGTTAAGGTGTTTTATGTCTGATATTTCACCACCATGACACCAGAGGAACTAATACAACAGGTAAATACTGGAAATTACTTTTAAACTGAGCACACACAGCACAGTCCATCTGTTAAATGAGCAATGCCAGTAGCTCTAGAAGAATTTGAGTCCCCCCAAGCACAGGTTTCTAAACTATTCATCAGAGGCTCCATTAACTGCCTGAGAATGAAGAGGATAAGAAGGCAGAGTTCCAGGCACCCTGCCTAGACTCCAGTTAAAACAACTTTAGCTACTGGAAGGACCAGACTAGCCTCATAAACTCCATTTTGAATTTTAGGCCCCATGTCAAACTAAGTTCTCTCGGTACTTTTCCAGAAAGCGGAAAGACACTGGCAGAGATGAGGAAGCGGGCAAGTTGAGACCAACCCGCGGACCCATCCTATTGTAAAAGAATGACCAGCCTGCAATTGTGAGATATTGTTGCCTGGCAACTAACCCAGATAGCCCATGGTTTATGACCAAAGTCACTGTAGCCCCGCTTCTCAGAAAAACCACAGGATGTGCTAATAGCTCCCCCTGCCCTCACTACAGCCAAATCAACACATAACAGGACATTCCAGGTGTTGCTCAGAATCAGATATCCTCCAGATGGCCGGGCCAGGACTGACTGACTGGTGCCTAGAATAGACCAATTATTTTAAAAGTCAACTTCCCTATGGTCAGACCCTTTTACCCAATCCTGTAATGCCCAGGCATGTAACTCCCTGCTTGCAGTTTCTCCCTATAAAAACCAAAGCTTGTTGTTCCTTCCTGCATTGGCTTGAATAAACCTCTTGCTGTTTGCATCAATCCCGCCTCTGAGTCTCCTTCGTGCGCCTCCATAGTAACTGGGCTCTTTTTGGGCCTAAACTATTTTAAATATTAGGGTTCTGTTGTTTGAACAAAGAATTCTAGTACCAAAATAAAGAGAAGAAAAAAAAGCAGCCTGAAAACCAAATTTTAAATGAACACTGGGTTAGCACTAAGCATGGGACCTTAACATCATGAACCCCACAAAGCAGAAAACTAGCCAAAAATGTACTTACGTGTCCCGAATGAAGTCGAGTGTATCTTTGTCTTTAGCAATCATGTCTGCTAAAATATGCTGTACTCCTGTTTCAATATCCTTGAGCTCAGAAAGGCCTTGAGAAGGGAGAGGGAGACCAGAAGAAGGTATAAGATTAGCTGTAAGGTCTATAATTAAATATACTAAACTAAATTTTACATTAACAAATTTAGGAAAGAAAGGCATCATGAGTGACTTGCATCCATACCCAAAGAAACAAGTCTCCAGAAGCAGTACTGCAGGCTCTTTCCTAGCACACCACATGCTGGTTGCCCACTCCACCACTTAACACTTTCAGGACCTTAAACAGATTAACTGCTTTCTCTGCCTCAGTTTCCCATAAATATGGAGTAATCATTATCTCCTTCATGTGGTTTCAAAGATTAAATATTGTAAGAAACATGTATGTATCGATCATATCCCAAAATATGTAATTTTATGAGTTACAAAAATTTGCCCTTTCAAGCAACTTCATTCATACTGACTGCTATTTAAGCGGGAGGCATTTCCACACTGTAAGTGACCCATCTGAATTTCTGAGATCCCATAAAGGCGATATCATCTGCAAAAGCAGCACGGGAAATAGCTGCAAGCACTCGCCACTCATGATCTCCTGATTCTGACGTAGAATGGCCCCTGTACTGTCAACTCATACACTGACAAGAGAGTATTTGGACTGCTCTCTTTCATTTCTCGGCTTCACTGTTCTACTTGCATTTTGCTTTTGTTGATTTACATTAGGGATTTGTTGGTATAATGTTCTTTTGGAATGTATACAATTTACCCTTGTTCATTCAAATGCTGATTTCTCTACCCCGCTATCTGGTTTCAATCTGGACATTGCATTGTGATGCTTACTCTAAGCATCACCTGTCTCAAGTTTGTGTAAACATGCCCCCATTTGTTCTCAATATGTCAATTAAACAACCAGCCCCAATGCTGAACAATGGAAAGAATAGGGTGAGATATCCGGGTCTGGAGGGGAGAGGAAGGAAGCAGGAGAAGAGTAGGGGCAGAGGTCGCAGGACAGGACTTAGAACCATGAGGAGAGATGAACCGGACCTAAGATATGACTAAAAGCAAGTATAATGGGTAAAATATTAATGGTAGGAAACTATGCAGGTTTGGAGGTTTTGGATGGAGTAATCATTGCCCAGCATTGTGCTCTAGGTTAAATTAATTAAATCCTAGTCTCCTTGTGGTGATTTGGGTATACAGCAGGTTTAGAAATAACCACTGCTTAACTAAAAGATAAATCAATAGTAAATATTAATCATTCAGTGTCATATATATGCTTTTCTGTGAACACAATTTTCATGACAAAAGGTACAAAAGACAAAGGCAACAGTACAAACTTATTTTGGCATAATTAATAAAGATAAATACATAATTAATAAAGATAAATAATAAAGATAAATGGAGCCTCTGATGAATAGTTTAGAAACCTGTGCTTGGGGGGACTCAAATTCTTCTAGAGCTACTGGCATTGCTCATTTAACAGATGGACTGTGCTGTGTGTGCTCAGTTTAAAAGTAATTTCCAGTATCTACCTATTGGTTTATGTATTAAAATAATCTATGGTAACTACTGAAGCAGTACTTATTTTAAAGAAATATGAATTGAAATTAATAGGAATTCTACTTATATTTAAAGAAATTTCTCTATGAGGAAAATTTCAGTGACAAGTTACTTTTACAAATGGAAACCCATGTATGTCAAGGATTTAGAATGGCTATAGCACACAGTATGCGTTCGTGTGCTACTTGTTGGATCTTGAGCTAAGAAAACTATTCACTCTGCAGTAACACATGGAGCCCCAAGCATCTCAGAGCAACATTACACAGAGAAATGTGTAATGTGTGGGTGATAACTCAGCAATAAAAGTGGCCTACAATGAAAACCATCACTGAAAGCAGCTAACAGAAAGAAAGTACAAGTTTGCTACAGCAAAGGGACTTTGGAAAACCCTCATCACATGGGAGAATACCACTTGGAAGTCTTATACACTCAGTGAATGTTAATAATTAAAGTTATGCTAGGCTAAGGACTGTCCTTGCTCCTGATGACAGGAGCATTCACAGATGATTCTGACAAATGCTTTCTGACCACTACTAGGGAGAGTCCCTGAGTTACCTCTCTGCAGTAGTGGTTCTCATTGGGAGGTAGAAATTACAGTCATTAGGGAAGTCTTTTCATATTGTACGCCTGCTTGCTCTAGCCAGAAAGACCGGAACATATCTATGTGTTGAAAAAGCCCAACACCCTATTGCTCTTTTAGGCTTAATGCAGGCTCCAGGGTGAGTGTGTCAGTAAAATCAAGAGAAACAAGACACAGTGAACCAGGAAAGCAATAATAAAATCTCTTCGGGGACAGAATCTGAAACATTTGGGAATAACAATTATGATTGCAAAAAAAATTGAAAAGCCAACATTTCTTTATACTATATTTATACTTAGACCTTCTTACAGGACTTAACAATTAGGTGCACCTTAGCACAGGGACGCTGGGACCTCAGGACAAAGCCCATGTATGGTATAGTCTATGTTTTCATTCAGATCAAATTCTTAGTGGCCTTCTACTGAGAAATATAATATAATAATATAAATAATATAATATAATATAATATAATATAATATAATATAATATAATATAATATAATATAATATAATATAATATAATATAAATGTATAGAGAGAGACATAAACATATACACATATACATATATATGGTTTCTAAAAATATTTCTTGGAGGAATGATGGAAATGATTAAAATGCTTCTTTGGAAAGCCAATAGTAACAAACTTGAAAGTGATCATGTATATGTATGGAGCACAAGGAGTGAGGGAAAAATTAAAAAGAAGAAACATATCAAACAAAAATTTAAGAGCAGGATGTGGTACTTTGAAAGAGAAATGTCCCTCATTGGCTCAGGCATTTGAACACTTGGTCCCAAGTTAGTGGCCTTGCAGTAAGCTGTATTCACTGGGCCAAACTTTGAGCGTTCAAAGCCTTGCCCTACACTCAGTTTGCTCTGTGCTTCACACTGTGGTTAAAGATGTGAGCTCTCAGGTGACTGCTGTTCTCACCATGCTTACTGCCTGCTGCCATACTTCCTTGCCAAAACAGACTCTTATCCCTCTGGAACTGTGAGCTAAAATAAATTCTCCCAGAAGTTGCTTTTGGTATGGTGTTTTATCGCAGCAACAAAGAGTACGAACACACAGTACATAGTTACAATTCTATCAACTAATTATAACTCTTTGTATTTGTGACTAGAATCAACAAGTGAGTAAAGCCAAGAGACAATCCTGCTGTGCCTGTAAGAACCACAGCAATGATGCAGGGTCCTGAGCTAGTCACATGTACCAAGTATCACTGCCTGGTATCAACCATCATGTATCCCATATATCGCCATAAGTGACAATCAAAAGTCAGATTTTATGTTTAAACCATAGTTTAGTGCTGCTTTCAACCTTGGCAAGAGAAACATCTTTTGGAGTGTGCTGAAGACTCATAATTAATAACAAATAAGGCTCATAACAGAGACTCATAGGTAATCAAAGTGCTGAGAATGAGTGACTATGGGGTGTTTACCCTTAAATGGAGCCTGCATAGCTACCCTACGACTCTCAACCAAAAAGGGGGGCAGAAGGAACATGGAAAGATAGGGTAGAGTGCTGTGAAATGGTGTATTTGTGACAAGACATGACCACAACACTCATGAACTCACTGCAACTATGGTTACCTGTACAAGATCCGTCAACATTCCTGCAGGCAGCAATGACAGATACCGCATGTTATACAACAACAAAAAACAAAACCAAAGAACGAGACCTGAGCAACTAATGCGGGAAGAGCACGTGTTGAAGGGTTTCCAGGGGAAGCAAGAGGAGGCAGCTGGGTGGATATGATCACTGAATATATGGATGAACCTGACACAGAAGAGAAGAATTTAAGAGAGATGCTTAACATCTCTCTTAAATTTTTTGGTAGGAATACAGTAGACCCAGGAACCAAGGACGCTGGACCAAAGAACCACCATAAGGAACAACAGGGAGCCAGCCCCCTGGAGCTCTTTTCCACACACAGGCCCTGACCCCAGCTGGGCATCTCAAGGCTACTAAGGCTCAGCTAACATTAAAATATAAAATGCTATCAGCAAAAGCAAGATCTGCATCTGATGAAGGCAACGCATGCACAGAGCCCTGGGTCGAGTCCCCAGAACCCTGCCCAGAAAGAAAATGGAATTAGACTTTGTAAGATTGTAACTGAATAAAGTAAAGTACAGCAAATGAAAAATTAAATGCTGTAAATCATTGAAAATATAACTACAAATAAGCATTAAAAACTAATTTGGATTGTATTCATTTCAATCTATCTCTAACTTCAAATAATACTTTATATCACTGTCCTTTCCCAAACATATTAAAATGTATGTTTCTGTGAAAAGATAATGTGTATTTTATAGACACATATCTCAGTTTTTAAAAACATAAAATCACACTGGCTGGAATATGGTTGATACACTGTACTTTCCTATAGTTAAATACACAGTATGAATTTTGTAATCACAGACTGCCCCCTGTTGACATGTACGTCTCCCAGTCTGAAGAATCAACACAAAGTCAAAAGAAACTAGAACTGGGATGGAGAAATATAGGTTAGAGTTGGAGTGGACTTGCACATTCACAGGCTAACTAAGCCTGAAAATCTAATGTACAAGAAGAGGATTACAACTCATAATATAGCATGGAGCTCAGATAAGAAAAGATTTGATTCCAGGTCAGTTTTGCTTGACTACAAAACTCATTTAATTATGCATATCAAAGCACTATATCTTAATACAATTAATCATTTAAACAAAAGAATCAATTTTTTTGAGAAATATTGTAATTTCAGCTCAAAGATGAGGCAAGAAAAGTGCAAATTCAAGTCCAAACTGAAGAGTAAGGCTCAGAAGAACAATTCTCATTTAAATCCTTCCCCTATGCCATATCATTCTTTTGCACACAAAGGCCAGAATATATTTGGAAGCCCAGTTTAAAACAGTTATCACTTAGGCAACAGAAGCTAGGATCAGACTCCAGTTTACACTTTGTGCATGCCAGAGTATTAAAATGCTTTTTGAAGATATCTGAGTTACATGGTTTTAAAAAGGCAGAAATTAAATAAAAGCTTTGAAAGATAACAGGAGACTCTATTATCTAGGGAAAGGACAGTAAAGTATAGGATTATTTGGAGTTAGAGATGGATATGGAGGGATTTCATTTAAAAGTACAAATGTCAATTATCTTAAAAGATTAATGAATTAATAGTAAAACTGAGACCTTCTATTTACCAAAGATGGTGTTAAGAAAGACCAAATAGAAACTAGAAAAATGTATATTGTGAGAATGTATTTTAGAGATACTTGTAAACAAAAAAGACACCTGGCATAGAGTGGGGAGGTGATCAAAAGCAAAAGGTTGTCTAGGACCTGTTTGTTACAATCATTTGTTCTTTATCTGCTGTTAACAGCTATTTGTACAGTCATTGGTGAAAACATGTTTAATATAAATATTTGCATTCTAAAAGCTACGCAACGTCCAGGTTGCCATCTTGCAGGAAGCCAGTACCTTTAACATCAGGTCTCACGTAAGACAACAGGTTGAGCTGCCCCGGGTTCTCCAGCAGTGTCCGCGCTGCTCCTTCTAGTCCCAACTGTTTTGCTCTCTGGGCTTTGGTGCCCTTGCTCCCTGTTTTATATGGAGCAGACTAGGGAAAAAGGCAAAACATTTCACAGGAGTCTGTTTTACCAAGCCAAAATTAGATTTAAAAAAAAAAAAAAAAAAAAAAGGATAAAGGGCTAGAGGACACAATGAGAATGCCATGAACATCCTTCTCTCTGCTCTGTCTTCTCCTCTCAGAAATGAACTCTATTAACTACCTAAGACTATGGGAATGTCATGTGTCAAATCTTTATCTTTATAATTTTCTATGGGCTTAATATGTTTTTGCTCGGATTTACTTATCTTAAAAACTCATCATGAGGACCACAAGGTCCTCCTCAAACAAGCAAGCTCCTATCCAAGTTGTTTCATGCAATGCTTAATCACCCCCCACCCCTTTTTCCTCAACCTACCACCTGCTGGCCTGCAGCTTCCCTTCCCACATAGTTTGCTGGAGTAGTATCTTGAAGATACAAGGCACTACCTTAATGATAATGATTTTCAGCCCTTATCTTGCCAAAACCCCTCCTACATTTGCCTATTCATCACCTCATTCACAAAGCTCCTTCCTCCTGATCCACATACTATCACCTCCAGATTCTCTTCATAGTTCTCTGATCATTGTTTTCAATGTGTCCTCTAGATTCTCTGGCTCACTTGTATTTCAAAAAGTGCTAGTGGTCAGTCCTTACCTGCTTGTCCACAAACCCCTTTAAAGTGAATTCTCTCAGTCTCATAGCTTCTAATACAACCCTACCAAAGAACCCATGAGGGGCTGGCTTCTGTGAATATAAAGTCCCTCATGAAAAATGGCATGGTGCATCCATACGATCTATGTACTGCTTCCTGTAAACTTAAATCATCTCTAGATTACTTATAACTAAGACAATGTTAAGTGCTATGTAAACATTTGTTACATTGTTTATTCAGGGGACAGTAATTTGTAAAAGTATGTACTTGTTCAATATGGATAACGTTAAAATATTTTCCATCCACGGTTGACTGAACACACAGATGTCAAGCCAACAAGCAACCAGAGTGCCAACTGTTCCAGCTACAGGCTGAAGGCACTCATATGTAGGACTCTAGTTCTGCCATCTCCCTTGCATGCCACACTCAAACAATCTCCTTCCCTACTTGACTGGAGATTCCTTGAGGGCAAGAACTATTTACTATATTGTCCATATGTAGAAACCAAAGTTCCTGGCACACACAAAAAGGTATCTAGTAAATATTTATTGATTAAAGGATAAAAAACCTTGATAAATAACAGTGGCTGATGGCTTTAGCATTTTGGTTTTTGTTTCGTTGATTGGTTTTTGGTTTTTCTGTTTTTTTGGAGACAGGTTTCTCTGCAGAGCCCTGGCTATCCTGGACTAGCTTTGTAGGCTGGCCTCAAACTCACAGAGCTCTAACTGCCTCTGCCTCCCTGAGGGCTGGGATTACAGGCATTCACCACTGCACCAGCTTGGTTCTAGCTTTTAATAGCTTGGTCTTCCTTAGTGATAAAAAGATCCCAAATCATAAGCATCTAAGCATTACATTAAGAGATAAAGCTCCTTACCACGTGTTCCAGTTCTTCAAATGTTTTACAGTTCAACAAGGCTTTCAGCAAGCACTCAGACATCTTCCCCTCCTTCTTAATTTTCTGGATTGTACTATGAACCTTCTTCGCAACCGCCCTGAAATTGAAAACATAATAAATACAACCTGTATGTCCAACCTTTCTTCTCAAGGGTATCTCACATTTACAGAATAGTTGCAGGGAAAGTAAAAGATAACACAAAACTGTTTTTTATCTTTGACTCATTTGATAGTAACTTCACCCCAAATACTTTCATATGCATTTACAAGAAAGAATAACCTACAAAGCACAATCAACCCATAAGTATTAGGTAGTTGACACTCATCTATCACTGTCCTCTCCTTCGTAGACCCGAGGCCCTTTTTAGGTGTCAGCAACAGCACTGGTGATGGCCTCTGTGGATTCTCTGCAGAATATGGGTAGCGGTCAGATGTGGTCTCGTGGAGCTGAATCAATGCTCCAGGCTCTCCTGGATTTCAAAGTCTCCATACTTTGAAATATGTCCTACCAGTTACTTTGTAATGTCTTTTGAGTCTGGGCTCCTGTGATGTTTCCTTACAGCTAAATTCTGGGGCCTCCTGGCAGAGATATCACACAAGTTACACTGCTCTTTTTACTATATGTCACTGAGGGGCAAATGGTTTCAGTGCAGCCTATCATTCACGGAATGTTACCACTTGAGGAAGAAGACACCTATGATTTCAGATACAAGCATTCTCCTTTTCCCTTTGTAACTAATACGTGATTTGTGGAGGGATACTTTGAGACTACCTTATTCTTCACCAAGCTTCAATGTATTCATTGATTCATTCATATCACCATAGACTTATGGTTTCTTATTTTTATTTAGTGGTTATAACCTACTGTTGTGACATATTTTAATGCTCATATTATCACTGGTTTGGCCAGAAGTATTTCTTTCACGCTAATTGTTATGTACTTCTGACTTGTCCCTCTTATTCTCTGGGCACTTTTTTTTTTTTTTTTTTTTACTTTCTACAAAATATCCCACCTCATTTTTCACTCTCCCTCCTAAGCACTGAAATCATAAGAATGCCACCCAGAAAGCATTTGTCTACTAGGTGTGCTCATTGTTACTGGAGCAAGGCTGCTCTGGATGAGCACACTTAGCAGATTTAACTGGCTTCTAAATACTATTCTCCAATGGCAAGGAACTTGGGTTCCATGGAGAAGAGATGATTCTAGGAATCAATGTAGATGGGTCAAGTACAAGGAAGGGAAGTCATAGCACTTCCTCTAATTATCAGGAATTCTTTTTCCCTGTGAAGTGCAATCCTGCTGTACATGTCATGCTTGCCATCTTATTTCACTACCTGTTCTTATTTACAAAATGTGCCTAGCAATGATATTGGTAAAGGTGGCAGACAGAGGTGAGTACCAGCATGTACACATTAATCCAAGGCTCTCTACTTCAAGTCTCTGTTGCCCTGATTTCCCTACAATGATGGGCTCTAACGTGCAACTGGGAACAAAATAAGCCCTTTCCCCCTTACGTTGCTTTTGTTGGAGCATTTATCACAGCATCAGGAGAAGAAATCAAGACACTATCTGTTCCTAAAAGTCACCAGCAGTACAGGAGAGAGTTATTTTCCTTCGTGACCACACAGCTGACTGGAGCAGCATCATAAGGGTCACTACAACATCCTGCTAGCCAGGAAGAAAAATAAAATTCATAACATTCAAAACAGAGTTTCTGCTGGTTTTAACTATAATGAAGTTGCAATATTAAGTCACTTTATCATAGGATAAAGGCCGTCTATCCTGGCAAAAACTCTCCATTTGGGGACTGTGGAGTGGTAAGAGTTATGCAAGCTGTTGAAGACATACACCAACATTTTTAGTTTCCTGTTGGCAGTCTTGATTCTGCCATTATATCTAATCATTTCAATGTGAAAAACAAATGATGGTCAAGTCCTATAGACACATGCCAAGGTAAGCAGGTAGTAGAGGACTCCATGTACTAACAAAGTAAACAGACCTGCCTTTATCTGCAGAAGAGGACAGTACTCAGATGACAACAATTTAAAAAAACAAAGCACCAGAACTGTCCAAACAGTTGCTCACTTGTTTCCTTGCTTCCCCTCATGAGCTCAGAGCCTATGACATCCATCCCTCCCTCGGGTTTTTTACCGTAGCTCATCTAGGGTTTGGCGAATTTCTCTCAAGGAATCAGCATCAAGGTTATTAATGAGCTCTTTCCGATAGCGCACAAGGAAGGGAATTGTGTTGTCATCATGAAAGAGGCATATGATGTTGGCACAAACCCAAGGTTCAATATTAGTTCTCTCAGACAAAACCTGCAAATAAAGATAAACAGTGATTCAAAATACAAAGGCCTGTAATCCCAAAATTTCAAAGGCTGACACAGGACTCCCACAAATCTAAGACCAGCCTAGGCTATGAAGTAAGATCCTATGCAAAATGATCATCATCACCTGAGTAACAAAATCAATCCAAAACACATGATAGAATTGTTTTCAAAACAACAGATGCAGTAAATGACTGAACTCCAGAGACTAGAAAGATAACTCACTTTCTAGGCATCTTAACTACTGATCCTAAAGCTTAGCAGTCATTCTAATGAATGAATATCAAATCTCTGGGGAGGACAGCAAATTCACATTTCCAGGCTTGGCTCTTCTTTACATTACCACTAGACCTATGAACAATAATTTAAGATAATTTCGAAGGAAACTAATGGGTATTGCAACTCTGAACTTGTAAAGTGAGCTTCCTCCCAAACTTACTCACCCTCCACGTTTCCTCATGTAACAGTAACTCAAACTAGAAAAGCAGCCGCTTCCAATTCTTCAGCCTGATTCATTGTAAGAACCAGTCAATGCCAACCACAAACTATTTCTCTATTGTCTTCATTTCTTCTACCCACATCACTGAGACAGCCTTTAACTGTTCCCCTGCAGGCTCTGCAGACTCACCTATTCCTATTTCTAAGAAGAGCACTGTGAATATCTTTTCAAAATGTATGTTAGAACATGTCGTTTAATTGGCGGAAACCATCCCTGATGTCCCACAGTACCTGGAATTCAAACCCTGTTAGACGACTAAACAGGAATTAATAGTGTTGGAAGCCACTGAGGGCAGACTTGTCCGCCGTGGCTGCCCTTGGACCCTCCACCCATTTACCTGGTAATCACAACTTTCCTTTTTTAGGCCTCCTGGCTAAAAGAACAAAATATCTCTGGCCCTGGGAGGTATGATATTCTGATCTGCTCCAAAGAGTAGACCATTGCATACTATTGTTTCTTCCAGGAGAAGTTAATTCAGCTGGCGTTATCAATTATCTGGAAGGAATATGCCCCATCACACCCCACCCCCATCCCCAGAAAAAGCTGTTTTACCTGAAAACATGGAGAGATAGAAGAATAATTATTTCCTTACTCCTCTCAAAACCCTGATATACTGACTTACAGATCTTCACTGTTAAGCATTTTTTTAAGTTCTAAAAAGCATAACTTTTCCTTTCTCTGTCTTTTTCTAAAAGCCTAAGCACACTTACTCAGTCTAACCATGTTTCCTTGGTAATCTGGGTTTTCTCATTTATTCTCTGAAACTCACTACATCCTTTAGCCATGAGCTGCTTGCCAATCTTCAATGCTGAGCATGATTTTCTTAGACCGTAACTCAAAAATCATCTTAGGCCATGCTAATGCAGTGATTGTGTGTGGTGTGTGTGTGTGTGTGTGTGGTGTGTGTGTGTGTGTGTGTGTGGTGTGTGTGTGTGTGTGTGTATGTATGTATGTTCCAGGACTAAGGAACAGCTCAGCAGTAACACGCTTGCCTAGTATACATAAGGGTATAATTATACCCTGGGTATAATTCTCAGCATCACAGAAAAGTAAAAACCAGCCCTCTCTCCAAAAGCTAGATGGGAAAGAAGCCAGTCAAAACCTGACCTCCCACTTCTGCGGTGCAGCTGCTGATGTACCTTGAACCTGCTACACTGTGAGAATCCATGAGCTCTGTGGACTACAGCCACAGTTCAGTCAGTGGTCCTCAGAGCAACAGCACCATCTACAGCCCCAAGGAAAATGCAGACTATTGGGTCCCATCTAAAATACACTGACCCAGGAACTCTAGTAAGGCCTGACCATCCTGTGGCATAGAAAAACAAGGCAAACAACAACAACAAAAGCAGAGCACAAGCCTGAAGAAGTAGAAAGGCAGAGCGGGGAACTGTAGTCTTTACTTTTAACCTATTCACATTAATTATTTATTAATGTATTTACTTGTTTACTTACATAAACCAGATACGGAGTAGTTAAGGAAAAGTCAGAAAGAAGTGAAGAGAGAAAGGGACCACAGGGAGCAACACCATAACTACGTTAAGGCTAACTTTTACTTTGTGACTGCTGCTTTATGCCAACATCTGTAAAAGGCTTATTGTGTTCACCATTAATGCTTGAATTATATGAGATAGAGACTAACATTATTCTTATTTTATACACACAAAAACTTGAGCCCAAGAGTAAATTGCCACAAGTCTCACTAGCCATATTACCTCTTCAAAAATTGAATTTGTATGCAAGGCAAAAGATTTATCAGGCAAAAGTACAAAGGACTTAAATTGTCCCCTGTCCAGAGTACTAGAGCAAGTGGGACAGAGTGCCTTAACACTGCCCTCTAGCTGTCTGTCGCAAACATCAGGGAAGATGCCCTCTCCCCAAGTGTCCAGAGACCTCTTCTGAGCTTGAGGGTTGAGGAAAACTCCCCAATCTTCAGTGAGAAAGACAACATCCTGGCATCAGCCAATCCACTACAGTTTTAATTACTCAGCAACATCTGCATTCTAAAAGAGTTACCACCAAATTCAATGACTCACTAATGAATAAGAGAGAATTTTCTATTCAGAATCATTCCCAAGCCAGCAACTTGAACAGCTCCTTCTGAAGTTGCTGATTCTGACTATTCACCACCTGAACTAAAGAGCTGATTATGTCACTAAGTCACGCAAAATGCTCACGTAAAGACAGCAGTGGGGACAACTATTATACACTGCCTGAAGTCAGAAAAGAGGTTATAGTAGAGGGAAGTGGAGATCAGAGGGGGATTCTGTTGTTTACAGCCTGGAAGTTGTTGCTTGGTTACACTTCTGAATATATCAAAGTGGGCTGACACACCCTAACACAACCCTAACCCTAACCCTAAATCTAACCCTAACAGTAACTCTTACCCTAGCATAACCCTTATCCTAACCTTAATCCTAACCTCTACAAATTCAACCAAATTCTAGGTTATAATAATAAAAAACACTTTTTAATCTAGTCAATCTCTCCCAGAGAAAACAGGCCACATCTACCAAGAAGTACTGCATCTATAACTAATGCAGAATAGCAGTGTGGTAGCCAGCTCAGAGACACAAAGGAAAAAGTCTCCCTAATTTAGGAAGCCTTACTAAGATCCACAGAGCAACTGCACCTGTCCAGGCTCATCCTCAAAATACAGAAACTATATCATAGGCATCACAACTTTACACAGTTTAATTCTGCTAACACCTAACTGTGCTGGTCCCCTTTTCAGTTTTTACTGACATACTGCATGGGACAAAAGGGGCCTTAACAAAGACAAGTTTCCCATGGCAGCCATACATTCACAGTTTGGGAACAGGTGCAAGTGGGTGCATTACTTCAACGCAAGAGAGCAGTCCTCAGTCCCTGGTCAGGAAATAGACACAAATTATGCTCGTAGGTAAAGTCTAAACTCTAGCTAAGCATAGGCAATGGAGCTTGCCCACTAACATAAGATGGAGACAGCACTGAAAAGCCAGTGGAGTTTCCAGGGTTAAGATATACACCTCAACAGAAGGACAGAAGACCAAGGCACAGTGTTGAGCGGGGCCATGGGAAACAGCACTCAACTGAGTGACAAATGACACTGCCAAAGTGTTCTGTTAGTAAGAATTAATGATTGTATGCAATTAGTTTATAGCAACCATTCCCTTCTGACAAGGGTTTGCCTCCAAACCTTGGACATATGTTTTATGGAAGCAGGTATGCACACTGAAGACATTTCTGTCAGCCTGATCTTTATGCAAATATTCAAGACGCCCCAACCTCTTGAACATGCAGCTGATTCTCTCTCTGCCTTGTATTACTGGCTCTCCTCAACCATGTTTTCCAACACCTGCACTAGTCTCAGCTACAACTAGAAGGAGCAGCACAGTTTTAAAGAAAATTTATTTTCTGTCCCACAAAGCTTTCGTGTGTGTGTGAGCTGATATTTAAAAGCACAAAAAAGAAAGTCCACATAATAAGAACTGTCTGGAGAGTCAGTTAGGGAAGGGCTTACTAGGTTATAAGCATGTAAATTCCCAGGCAATTTCTCTACTTGAAATATGCTTGCCTTTAACAAAGCTGCCAACAACAGGTTGCTCAACAAACACAGACAGAGAGTTGAGATTCCTTCAGGAGAAGACAAGGGCTCCACCCAAAACCAAGAAGCTATCTACAACTGATAGATAGCAAAGGAAAAATTTGTTTTCTCCAATGGAGTCTCAATTGGTATATTATCCACATTTCAAGGCAGTCACCATGCTCAAGATGAGCAGTTTGGCCATCACAAAACTAACACAGTCTTATTTTTGTGGACTTTCTGTCCCATTTTGCTCTGAGCATTTTTTTCTTGTCTTACTAGTCTTCTGTATGTATAGTCTGGTTTCTGTTTCTTGTGGTTTTGTGATGGTGGGCGGTATTTCTTAGGATCTTTTTGTTTGTTTCTGTTTTTTAAAGAGAAAGGAAGGGTGTGGAGCTGGGTGAATTGCGAAAATCTGGGAGGAGTTGGGGAGGGCACGTAATCAGAATGCATTACATTTAATTTTTTTCAATTAAAAATAAAATCACTTCCTATTAACAGGAGGGAAAACTGCTTTGAATGTAGAGAGGGGACTAAGTATATCCATATCTTCCAAGTAGGCAAAGGCCATGAAATATTTCAAGGCCTTAAAATGAGTGAACATGTTTCCAACTGACAGTGGAATGAACACTGAATGCTGCTCCTCTGGGTTGCAATGAATCTTTCCTTGCTACTTTGCTTCTGCCCCTCACCCTAGCAGTCAGGCACCCATTTCTCATCATGCTTTCCCCTCCTGATTCTCAGCAAGTAAGTTTACCTTGCTCTTGGAATGTACATTACAAAATGCCTTGTCTAATGCGATCTTACTAACAAAGAACTCATCAGCAAACTCAAGTAATAGCCCCTAAAGCTGCTGCTCATGGTGGCTCACACTGATAATCCCAGCAATAAGTAATTTGGGACCAGAGCTAGTTAAGTTCCAGGCCAAGCTGGACTACAGAGTGAAACCCTGCCTCAAAGAAACAAAAACAGATTTAAAACAAAAATAATTAAAGTCCAGGTTAACATATTTCAGAACAAACTTTCTCTCAAAGCCTGGAATCAACTTCAGTGATACCTGTTAGAGAAAGGATACAACTTATGGAATCCTACACTGAGCTAGCTGTCAGTAATTTGTAGCTTTTAGAAAGGTTCTCTTTAGCTCCTACTGTTAGTATTTTGACCTCCCTACAGAGCCCCCAGTGTCAGCAGGAAGTAGCCAGAAGAGAATCTATGCCCGTTATTCACTTGTTGTTAACAAAAGGCTGAAATGGTGTGCTTCAGGACCAGGACAAGCAGCTCCAGGTTCTCCCAGCGTTCCCCAGCCCCCTACCTGCTGCCTTGCATGGCTGGCAACCTCTCTATTGACAACCCTCTACCCTAAATTTTCCAGGGCAGAGGCTTCCCTTACTCTTGACCTTGTAATCTGACCATTTTGTTGCTATAATTCTCTCTCTTAAACCCTTGCATGACAACCAAGATCTACTTCCAATGAGCCTAAATTTATATACTTTAACTTACCTTATAAAAAGCAGCCCAAGCTTCCCATTTTTTAATTATAGAAAAAGGGAGGAATGTTAGTATTTTGGAACACAACCTGCTCCTGGGTTACCCAGCAACTTATGATGTCATCATGTGTCACCAGCCAGGTGGCCACACCTGGAAGGTGTGCTTACCTTGACCCTTAAAGGGCTAACCCCAACACGTGGTCGCTTTCGTACTCTCTCTCTCTCTTACACTCTCTTACTCTCCTCTCTCTCTCTCTCTCTCTCTCTCTCTCTCTCTCTCTCTCGGGTGCCCCTTCCCTTTTCTCTCTCTTTCCCCATGTACTGCTCCCCCCACCCTCCTAATAAACTTCTTTCAGAGAATATCGGTTGACATCAGACTCATGCTTTTTAATAAATAATAACACCTACTATGAAAACAAGAATGTTTCTTATAGTTGTCTCTTGCCATCCTACCTTAAAGACACCTGATCTCGACCCTCAAGGACATTTTGGGTAGCCTACTCACACATTGCTCATAGAAACCTACCCACCCCTACACACACACACACACACACACACACACTAAACAAATGTGAAATCATTTTTTAAAAGTAAGTTCTTGACAGGAGCGCTTAATTATGCCAGAGGACTTTAACCAAGAAGTCACTAAGGGATGGCAGGATATTGATAAAAGCCAATACCAGAATGATTTTAGATGCTGTATTAGGCCCAGCGAGAGCCTAAATACAAGAAGGTATGAAGAGAACTCAGGAAACTAATCATCCATCGATGCAAAAACGCAAGAGGTTCCTCTTGACCATTACGCAATGGGGTCACCCCTGCTGGTCAGCTAGGAGTGGCACCGGGAGACAAAGACCTTAGGTTTTTAAAAGACACAAGGTGGGAATCTCCTGGGGTTGCCTTCTTGGTGATTTAGGATTGGATGAGGTGTTTAACTTTTAAAATAATTAGTTAGTTCTGGTCACCCTTAGGTCTAGTCAGCCCTGTCGTAAATATCTGATCTTCAAGTCAGTTTGGAATTTCCTGCCATCCACAGTTAAAGATGGGAGAGTGATTAACTCATCCCATGTCTGTTCTGAGGAGTGGGGGTTACAGGCTTTGGATCAAAGGTCAGGAGAAGGATTGGGGCCATTTGGCCCAGTTTTCAAACAAAGCCCATCTCACCGGCACCAGCCGGTGATTTTCTCTCCATTTAGTAGAGATCTCTGCTTGCTCTCTTCCTTATCTCTGCCCTCACAGATGGCTAATGTCAGGAACTTTTACATTCCTCGGCTCTCTGGAGAAGCACTAAGAGGCTTTAATTGACATGGGCCTAAAACTTGCAAATATAAGTTATAAGGCAATTAAAGGAAACATAGGTTACAAAGTTAGTCTGATTCTTTCAGCTGCTTTAATCATACAAATCACACAAATATCTAAGAATCGCATAGCACATCACACATTTCATGGGGAACACAACCTGATATCAGGTATGGGCTCGGATGCATTGCCTCAGGTGTTTCGGTGTCTTCTGGGCCCTGGAATTTCTCTGCTCCACAGGCCTCAAACGTGTAGGAAGCCATGGTTTCTTGGATGCCCCCTTCCAGGGCCAGTTTGTTAAGGTGGTCTGGAATTGATCAACAGCCATTTGGGAATTGGCTGGTTCTTGGCAATCCTATAGCCTCCTTACTTAAAAGTTTGGCATGTCGCAAGCTCGTGGCTTCAGTCTGCGATTTTTATACTTTATTCCAGGGCATTGCTCAGCTTATCACTCTTTCACATGCGTCAGCTGCTAATCAACTGCCATTACCTAATTTCACTATCTAATGCCTTAAGGGAGCTTACTTAGTTACTGTCACTAAGAGTGTTTCTTAATCTCACCCTGACAGCCTTGCTGTCTTACAAGCTCCTACTGCCTTACGGGCGTTACCTAGTCACTGTCACTAAAAGTATTTCTTAATTTTACTCCTGACAGCTCTGCTGACTTACAAGCTCATTACAGTTCTCATCCCTGTAATCTGGAGAAAAATAGTACAGTGAGGCTATATTAATCTCTTCTCCCATGGCAAAGGGTGGGAGACAGGACAGGAAGCAAATTGCCTAGAGAAGGCAGCTCTTCACTAAGAATGACTTATTAACATGTCTAAAGCTCAGAGGGCTTCAAGGTCTTGGAATCCCTCCTCTCTTCCTCCTGTACACTGTCAACTACCAGAGGTGGACATACCTTTGTAAAAGAAATAAGCTTAGCAGCACTAATAATGGGCAAGGATAGGACAGCGACATGTCCACTGACCCTGTAGCTCTGGACCAAGGATGAAGTTGATAGAGGGTCTTAAGGGTAAACTTAGTGCAGGTGGCCTATGATCTACCTATTCTGTGAAAGCATCACCTTGTAGAGCTAAATGAGTGAAGCAAAGGAAGACTTGGAAAGCTATTTACACTGTTTCTTAATGACTCTCTGCATGGTATATTTCAGTAAAAACAGAAAGCTGAAAGACAACATTCTAAATTCCTTAGCTTGCCAAAGAGAAGAAACACAATGACTTAAAAACTACTAGTGACACTCTGTATATAACAGAAAAAACAACAGGCCCAAAACCTGTCCCTCTGAAGAACAAAGGTATCACAAAGTCCCAGTCTTAGAATCTCCAGAAGCCCTGAGCTCTACAGCAGCAATGTATAACAGAGGAAAGAATTCCTTTCAGAATGTCCTTAGAACAATAAGGAGAAAGATCACCTGTAGGCATAAGGTCACTGTATAATTCAAATGCTGATTTCTGTACCCACCCCCCATATCTGGTTGCAACCCTTATTCTGAGAATCTCCTGTCTCAATGTTGTGTAAACACTGCTCTCCAATTGTCCCCCCAATAAAGCAGCTTACAGCCAATCCTGGAGTAGAGGAGAAAATAGGGCTGGACTTCCTGCCAGAGAGGGGAGGAGGAGTTGGAGGAGGAAGAAGGGGATAACCACAAGGAGATGTCCAGGAGCCACCAGGAGAGCTCAGCAGGGAAAGCTACAAAGTAGAAGTATCCCTGGGATGTATGCTAAGAGGAAGCCAAATTAGCTTAGGTGGTTAAAAAGAGTAATAGCTGTTCAGTTGTTTTGTTATGAAGCTTATTATTAAACAAATATTAAAAAGTCTCAAATTATTTAGGTGAAAGCCAGGTTAAGAGAGAAATTGAGTTTTATTGTATAAAAATAACAGTAACATCTAGCCTGAAATGGCCCCAGAATGTTTTGGAGCACACAAGGTTAAGGCTCACTGCTCATGAGCCATTCTCAAAAGGAGCTAAAAAGGTGGGAATGGGGGCAGTGGGAAAGGAAAGGAAACCAAGGAGAAATCCTCAAGTTAGGATTCTTAAAGAAATTGTCTTTGAAACATTGCTGGGTCCATGTTCCTAATATACTTCGTGCTTAATAGCCAGGAACTTAATCATGTATACTGCTTTTATAGAGAAATGCAATCCAAACACAAAACAAAAATGTAGAGTGAACCTTTAAGGGCTTCCTCTGTTGGTGTGAAATATTATGATTTTTTAATATTTCCCTGCACCGTGATATGCGGGAACACACCAGGGCAACGACCTCCCTTGGCAAGGGCACAGGTCACATCAGTGAAAGAGCTGCTGCTGATGCCAGATTACAAACAGTGGCCACAGCTTGATTCCAGAAATCACTGGCAAACTGAAAAGAGAGGTCAAAACTGCCAGCACTTCCCTTAGTGACCACAGTGTGGTGCCAGTCCAGGACTCACAGCACACAAGTGACACAAGGCTGCACTTACCTGCACTATGTCCCAGTTCATTTCCACCTCCTCTGTAATGCTGTCAGGAATCTTGACAGGCTTCCCCTGAGGACATGCTTCTGTCCTGATCCTCTTTAAAGGTGGCTGACCAAACGTGAAGTCGTCTTCACCTTCTTCCTTCTTGTGCACACCTTCCCCTGCAGTGCTTGTTGAGGACGTCTCCATGTTGCTATTTCCACCCTCCATGGGGCTAGCATGGCTGCTTTCCTCATCAACTTTCAACTTTTTTTTGGCCCTCTGCACTGTGTTTTTTTGTTTTTTTGCTGCAGTTTTCAGAGTCTTTGTCATATGCAATTCGTGATTTTTCTCTTCCAAATTGGCATCAACAATAGGCACCGGGCTATTCTATAATTCACAAAGAGAAAGCATGAGAATTACAAGACTAGAAACCAACTGGTATATTGCTCAGAAGTTAAAAAAAATGTACATATTCAATACACACAACAACTTAAATGGACATCAAGGGAACTATGCTGAGTTGGGAAAAACCCAACCCAAAGGGGATTGGAAGTTCAATGTCATCCTCAGTTATATAGCCAGCCTGGGCTACATGAGACCTGACTTTAAAATAGGCAGATAGATAGATAGATAGATAGATAGATAGATAGATAGATAGATTTGTTTAAGTAAATTCAGAAACTGATAAATAAACCAATATAATAAGATCAAAGCCAACCATTTAGAGGGAGAAGAACAGCATCCACATACTGTGAAATTCAGAAGACTACACTACCATCTGCTCAGACAGAAGACCAGGAGTAGAAACAGAGCAGGAGCAGCCAAAGGCAGGAAGTTTACTTCTGTTTTTTCTGAAATAAGGTTTCACACTAAATCCCTGGCCACCTAAAACTCATTACGGAATTCAGACTAACTTTATACTCACAGCAATTCTCCTGCCTTGGATTCCCAAGTGCTAGAATAACAAATGGACAGCACCAGAGCTAGCTTTGAGAGGAGGCTGCCCAGCAGCCTACACAGGTATCTAAGAAGCAATGCACAGCTCCACTGCTTCCTACCAATGTCACTTTACCTGACAGTCATCTCAGCACTGGGGATGGTGGCAATAACGCAAAGAGCTACCCTTAAGGAGCTTAAAGTCACAGGCCAGCTTGTCCATCACTCAAGCAACACAGCACAAACTCAGCTCCCAAGAATGTTTCAGTGAAAATTAAACTTCTATCGGGGATTTTTCCACAACAACTGACAGTGAGGACTGAGAACCATAATAAGTACCTTCTACCCCAATGCCAACCACCACATGTATACTTGAAATGCACAGTAGGCAGCCACTGAGCCTGCACCTGCACTCAAATATAATGGATCCAAGCGGAGATAGGAAGATAAAATGGCTGGGTCTACAACTCACAACCTAATCAAATGAATTGGCATAACTAAAAGAAGTGCCCATCATAAAGGAAGCCATCCAAGAAACAAAAATAATCTATAAAAGACCAAATATGACCAGCCTTCTTCTATCTATAATAGGGCAAAGAAAAATCAACAACTAGATTCTGAGTGTTTCAGTCCCCATGACAAGAGAACCTGCTGTGAGATGGTGCTTCAGACTAACTTAATGCCACACAATTACACCCTGCATGTGTCCCTGAGGTGACCAGGGACAGACCACAGGAGTCAATCAATAAACCCAAACAGGCTTGTCTAATTCCTGTTCTCAGCCCATGCTCATCAAGCAAGTTTTATTTAATGCCCTACTTCGGCCTCCAAGAAGAAAAGTGCTGCCAGTAAGAGTTTCAAGTGCTTGTGATGTAAGTATCAATTATTAAACCAGCACTCAGTATACATACATCACTCTTGCAAGCATGGCTGATATAAAAGTACCCCTGAGAGGAATATTGGCTTTTGAACTGCTGACTAAGAAACCCAGTTCCATCATTCACTATCTGTGTTCTAGAAGTAAGCCACTTAACATCTCTTGCCTTGGCTTTATCTGTAAAATCAGGAAGGTAGCTGCAGCACTCACAAAGGTTGTAATAATCAACCAAGATCTTCAGACTGAAATGTTGAGCATGCTGCCTGGCTAATAATACACACGGGTATTTGCTGAGATCACCAACCAAACCACCACTTCCATACCTAGCACAGCTCCTCAGAGAGGACAGTGGAAGAGCTGAAGAAACAGGTGCTTCAGTGGTTAAGTATTCCTGAGACTATGACCAGGGAAACCATCACTTTGCAGTCTGTATCATTTGCAAGATCTGTCCTGCTCTGTGTAAGAAACAGGCCCTCCTTGAGGCAGAAAAAACGAGGTCTTCTCACGTCTAACACCACCTACCAGCTCCACCTTAACAGCCATGTCTTTCGACACATCATCTATCTGTGGGGTGTTCTTCTTCCCCCGCGGCCCCGGCTTTCGTCTGGATTCCTTGGAAGCAGGCTGCTTACGGTTTCTGGGCACTTTCTTCTGAGGTTCCCAAATGCTATCTTCTTTGTCATCTTCTTCAGAGCCAGACGACCTAGAAGGAAATGACAGGAGAACTTCCAGGAAAAATGAAACTAGATGACAAAGGGAGAAAGAGACATATGCTTCTTAAATAACTGGAAATATGTGATATAAAATGGAGTGATATGGACACAGGCTGTGAACAATTACTCCTAAGAATTGAACAGGTGACTGGAGAGCCTCGTAGGAGTGCCCGCTCCATACCACACACACAAATCACAAGTCTCTCCACGCTCCTCCCCGCACCTGACGAGCATGCACACACACCGGCATGACACAGAAAAATCAATCATTACCTTAAGTAACTTACTGGGTCATGTCATACCATCGTCAGCATGAGCCTTTCAATCTTAACAGTAAAAAGCACTTAAGTTCCTAAATGCCAATTAAATCCATTTAAAATGTACTAAGTTATTCAAACCAATGAAAGCACTGAGAAAGAGCTTTTAAAACACCCTAAACTGCACAAAAAGCCAGCACCAAGACCCTTCAACTATTTTATTGACCCCCTTTTCCTTTCAAAGAACAGACCTCTGCCCTGAATAGATGGGATCAGGTGCAGCTACGTTGCTTTTCCACCAAGAATCAGACTCACACCAAGAGGAGTGGCAGCACAACCCTCCAGCCCATCTGATTCACTCTATTGACAGTGTCAATGTCGTGTGAATAAGAGCTACTCTAAAGCAATGTAAACAACAGTTTGCCTTCTTTTACCCTGTCCAGAGTAAACATTAAGTAATATGTTAGTTATCTGCTTTCTTTTTCCTGGATCACAGCATGAGTACAACAAATAGTTGTTGTGTGGATGAAGAACACATGCTTCTTCAATTCAAATGACTTAAGTGTCTAAGTGACAGACTACATTACTCTTAAAATATCCATCATTCCCCCAACAACATATTACACTAATATGCTTACAACTCAGAGAAGAAAGAAAATTCATCTTTGGATTCCACATTCTTGGCCTGTATTTTTGCTCTTCTTGGCAATGAAGACATCTGGAAGAAATGGAACACAAAGTCAGCATAACATGAATAGTTTTATCATTTCGTCTGGTTACAAAATGATTCTCCATTCAAAATTAACACTCCAAAAGCTTTGCTGTTAGAAAATGCTATAGAAGGGAGAAAAACAGAAGACTTATTCACAAGCCCAAACACTGGCTCCTGACAGGATGTAGCCTGCTGATCAGAAGAAGACCCAGCAGCGTTCCAATGGTCTCAAATAGCTTATGAATGTGGGATCATCTCTTGAAAAACACAAGACCCTACAGGTTTATTTTAGAATTAAAGGTTTAAGTATTCTGCATGTGTTGTTTTATGGTGACATTGCCAGTCAAATTATAAAGTTATCTATTAAGCTATTTCTTAAATATAAGAATTTTTTCTCTTCTCTATCTTCTCATAACATTGAAGTGTCTTCACAAAATTAGGAGTCAAACAAATGCCAATCAACTGAGTCAGCTGCAAGCTTATTCCTAAAACAAAACAAACATCTTCCTGCAGTATAAATGATTAACCACAATGCCATCACAAATACTTACCATATTCAAAGGCCCTGCACTAAAAAACAATAAATAAATAAATAAATAGAATTAAGACAAATGACAAGAGGCATCACATAAGTAAATAAATTTATCTAAACTGGTAAGCATTTATTACCCAAAGAATGTTTGTCAAACCATTAATACTGCATTAGATGGCATGTTTAGAATCTTTTAAACAAGTTCCTGGACTAGTTGCATATTGTAAGCCTCTGGTTCTAACACTACTTATAAGAGGTGTTAACACCTCACAGAAATACCAAAGAGGTTGAAACAAAGAAGAGCGTGCTTTCCAGCAGCTCTGTACAGTGAGTACAGAATTATGAGGCAGACCATTTATATAACAGAAGAACAGTAGAAAACAATCTCCTAGCAGTAGACAGGATAGACAATCTCCCTAATGAATTATAACCAAGGAATGCCTATGGGGGAGGGGGGGGTCAGGCTTCCTCAAAAAAGTAGTTCTAGCTATTGATCACAAGAGGCAAAAATGACTTCTTATAGACACTTTACCATAATAAAAATAAAATGTAAAAAGAGGGCTGAACAGGAATGTGGCACACCTTTAATCCTTGTACTGGGGAGGCAGAGGCAGGAGGATCTCTAAGAGTCCTAGGCCAGCCAAGAGCTACATAGTAAGATCCTATCTATAGATAGACAGACAGACAGACAGACAGACAGACAGACAAACAGATAGATAGGAATGGGTGGATGAATGGATGGATAGACAGACAGACAGGCAGGCAGACAGGCAGACAGGCAGGCAGGTGGAAGTTGGTGCCAATTCAAACCAGGTCAGGGAAGATTTTGCATTCACTCTGTAAATGGTAGTGAGACAAACAGCTGCTCCTCTGAAAGAAAGCAAGTTATTTAACTCCCACGCCTTCCTCAGGAGCAAAACCGTGCTCTAAGATTTAAACTACACAAAACATATCTTTCCAAGTTCTTCAAAAAGCAAAGAGACATCTTCAGAATGTTGACGAGGATGAGAAAATGCACGTGTCACTAGGCATGACTGAAAACTCAAATGCAAAAAGAGTAATAGATGTTATTACATAAAAAATTAAAATCCCAAGGAGTCCTTGGGACATTTGAGAACCAAATCAATTTGTTCTTCAATCTCCTTAAATTTTGATTTTAATTTTTTAAAAAGGAAAGGAGAGAAGGACAGATGGATGAACAAAATGAATAGGAAAGAAAGGTAGATGGATAACAGAAATGATTGCTGAAATCTTTAGGGGCAAGGGTGAGGGATCTGGGGCTGGGTACACTGTAACAAAGAATCTTTCTAGGTGCCCTAGCCTGCATATTACCAGGCAACTAACCCACAAAGAGCCTAAAAGTTTATTTCCCAGGACAGAGTCAGCAGAAGACAACAAATGCAACTGTATACAGAGAAAGCGTTCAAACTGATTGTTAAAACCCAGAGTCACCAGTGAGGGCTGGAGATATAGGTCAGCTAGGAGAGTATTTGCCTGGTGTGCATGGAATCCTGGGTTCAATCCCTAGAACCTTAGAAACCAGAAGTGGCAGGGCAGCACTTGGGAGGTGGAGGCAGAAGGATAGGGAGCTTAAGGTTTTTCTCAGCTACAGAGAGTTCAAAGCCACCCTGGCATAAAACAGACCCTGTCTCAAAACAAACAAGCCGGGAGTAGTGGTGCGTGCCTTCAGTTCTTCAAGTTGGAAGCCAGCCTGGTCTACAAAGTGAGTTCCAGGACAGCCAGGACTGTTACATAGAGAAACCCTGTATTGAGAAACAAACAAAATAGCCACCACTTAGATCCTTGTCCTCCAGGAAAGAGAATGGGAAGTCTCTTCCTGGGAAACCTGATCCCTGCATAAAAATCTAAAGGTGCTGGGAAGAAGAGGCAAGGTCAGACAAAGACAGAGGTCAAGACCAGCTTGTGCTACAGGAAACCCTGCCTCAAAAAGAAAACAGTTGGGGGGAGGGATCTAAAGCTGCTAACTTCCCCTTAGGCAACCTTCCCAGGCTCAGCTCACAACCCTTCTATATCCCAGTCTACAGCACACAGTAGCATCAGACCACCTCCACCAAGATCTGGCTTTATACAGTTTGTTATATCAATCAACTCAAGACCATAAACAGTAAGCAGAAAACTCCAGAATAAACTATTACTACGTTTCCAATTGTACACTATTCTAAAGCAGCAGAATAAAATCTCTATCCTGTTCCACCATGAATTATCTAGTACAAATGATCCCTCTGCCCAGCAGTCATTCTGTACACACTGATTCCTGCATGCCAGTGATTTAGCAGTAACCTCAACTGTCACTGTCTCACAGTGCTTGATGTCAAGAACATGAACAGCAATGCTGACAATTTTATTATAATATTGCTATTCTGTCTTGTTAGTGGTTGCTAATCTCTTAATGTATCTAATATATACATTAAGCTATCTATAATAAATATAATATATAAAACAAATATAGAAATAAAATAATACCACAGATATGTATACATAGAAAGAAACAAGGGTATATGTAGTTTTCAGTACTGTTAAACATTTCAGACCTCTGTGGGGGAGGGGAGTGCAGCTGAGGTCTTGAAAGGGAAAACTACTACACCTTAATTCAAAACACAGATTATTATATACTATTGCTCTACTTCAGCCTTAACAGGAAGGTATTTAAAATAGGAAAGATAAATCCTTGGCCAGTCCATGTCCGAGCTCATTGTCTAATGCTGTGATAAACACCATGATCAAAACCAATTTGATATAGAAAGGATTTATTTCCTTTTACAGGGTGGAGTCAGTCCATCAAGGGAAGCCAAGGTTGAACCCATAGAGAAACACTGCTTACTGGCTTACTCCCAGGCTTTCATTCAGCTACCACTCTTATTCCAGCCAAGCCTGGCTGCTTAAGGATGGCATTGCCCTCAGTGGGCTGGCTCTCCAACATCAATTACCAATCAAGAAAATGTTCCACACACGTGCCCATTGGGCAATTAAATGAAGGCAATTAATTACTCGGCTGAGAGAAAGCTCCCCTCTTCCCAGGTCTGTGAAGCTGGCAACCAAGATTAAACATCATAGTTAACATTTAGATTAACCTTGGGCCTTCAAAGGTTTCCCTAGAACACACACTTTAGATCACCTCTTTGGTAAATACTCCAGAGTCAATGTACCACAGAAAACTGGATAAGACACAAGTATCTACTTACAAAGAGAAAAAATATATGTCAAAAGAAAGATGAGAAAGGAAAATATGTATGGATACAAGCCAATTTCATATAGATCTACTTTAGAAAGCGTATATACAGAAACAAGAAGTTATCATTTGCATGCAACTACCTATGTCAAGTATCTTCTCAGGAACTTGTATATTGCACTTTACCTGCTTCTCCACCTCCACTCCTCCCCATGTCTATAAAACTTGATGGGGTAACCAAAATCTCAGTGACTGACATGTCTGAAGTGCAGATAATGTGTCACAAAACAGGGACACATTCTGAGAAACACATCATTAGGCAGTTCTGTCACCTGAGCATCACAGTGCACATACACAACTAAGACCACTCTGTGAGAGTCTCAGAGAAGCACTTTCTGGAGTTGTACATTTCTGTTGGCATCCATCCCAAACATCATTAATCAGTGCAGCCTATAGCACAATCTTGTACTTAGTAAAAATCCTAATTCCTTTCGGGATGGGGATTGAGCATTTTAGCCAGAGTCCTCCCTCTTGATTAGTTTCTTTAGATGTACAGATTTTAGTAGGTTTATCCTATATTACATGTCTATATGAGTGAGTATATACTGTGTATGTCTTTCTGTTTCTGGGACAGGATGATCCTTACTCAGGATGATCCTTTCCAGTTCCCACCATTTACCTGCAAATTTCATGATTTCCTTATTTTTCATTGCTGAGTAATACTCCATTGTATAGATGTACCACAGTTTCTGCATCCATTCTTCAGTTGAGGGGCATCTGGGCTGTTTCCAGCTTCTGGCTATTACAAATAAAGCTGCTACAAACACGGTTGAGCAAATGTCCTTATTGTGTACTTGAGCCTCTTTTGGATATATGCCTAGGAGTGGTATGGCTGGATCTCTGACTAAAATGCTCAATCCCCATCCTGAAAGGCAAAGAGGATGGACATCAGAAGAAGAAGAAAACAGGAAACAAGTTAGGAACCTGCCACAGAGGGCCTCTGAAAGGCTCTGTCCTGCAGACTATCAAAGCAGATGCTGAGACTCATGGCCAACTGTTGGGCAGAGTGCATGGAATCTTATGAAAGAAGTGGGAAATAGTAAGATCTGGAGAGGACAGGAACTCCACAAGGAGAGCAACAAAACCAGAAAATCTGAACACAGGGGTCTTTCCAGAGACTCATACTCCAACCAAGTACCATGCATGGAGATAACCTAGAACCCCTGCCCAGATGTAGCCCATGGCAGTTTAGTGTCCAAGTGGGTTCCATAGTAATGGGAAGAGAGACTGCCTCTGACATGAATTGATTGGCCTGCTCTTTGATCACCTCCCCGAGGGGGGAGCAGCCTTACCAGGCCACAGAAGATGACAATGCAGCCACTCCTGAGGAGATTTCATAGACTAAGATCAGAAGGAAGGAGAGAGGGACCTCCCCTATCAGTGGACTGCGTGAAGAAGGGGGAAGGAAGGTAGGATTATGAAGGGGGGAGGGAGGGGTTTATGGGGGGGATACAAAGTGAATAAAGTGTAACTAATAAAAGTTAAAAAAAAAAATCCTAATTCCTCTGTCCCAGACTTAGATTCAGATTTATGGGCTGGAGAATTGGCTCAGAGGTTAAAAGCACAGGTTCTCTTCCAGAGGTTCTGAGTTCAATTCCCGGTAACCACATGGTGCCTCCCAACCACCTATAATGTGATCTGATACTCCCTTCTGGCACGCAGGTGTACATGCAGATAGAGCACTCATACATTAAATAAATAAATCTTTTTTCTTTTTAATGATTCAAATTTATACAATAAACTGCCTCTGGAGGTCTCATAGTTTCCCAAATTTGACACATCTATATTGGGATTCTTGATAATCATTTCTCCCTAAATCCTGTTCCTACTCCTCTTTCCAGTCTCAATATCCATCCACTTGCTAAAATTTTGAAGACTTTTAACAGCTTCCCTGAGCTATAACACAAAATACCCTGCCCATGCTTAAAATGTTCAAATATGCTAAATTTTGACATATGTAGACACATTTTCACACTCAAAATAAAGAGTCCACTGTCCACCAGTGTTACCTGTAAAGCCAAAAATGAGAATCTCTTTTCCTCCATCTCCAAAATCCAGTCCATTAGTTAACCATATGTATTCTTCCTCCGAAATATATCTTACTTCATTAGTAGCTCCAGCGAGCCCCTAGTCTCTTTCTGTCTTCCATTGCTATAGCAGAGGATGAGACTTTGGGAGGTAATTAATAAAAACAAAATTCTTTTGCATAATTCCAGAAACTGGTAAAAAGGTCTTCTTTCTGCATTATCCGGAAACAGAAGGCATCACATGGCTCATCTAATCTGCATTACCTTGCAAAGGCTCTACCTCCAAACATATGAATTTGGAGATTACGCTCCAGGTACTTAGGGACACAAACCCCAGTAGTTTCCATCTCTTACCTAGACTACTGCAGGGACTTCTCATCTGACCATAAGCATAAGCTCTTCCGCTCTTGTTCCTACACCTAAAATGCCCTGAAAATGTTCAATGACTTTCCACCTTGTGCTTCCAACTGGCTCAAACTAAGATGCTCTTTAGGAATGACACATTCCACTTCTACTACATTTACGCCTTAATCTCCCTGCCTGTTTCTAGTCACCATCTTTCCCACACCAAGTTCACTCTACCTGAAATACATTATTCCTATTCACAGCAAACATCTGGCTACTTCTTGCCCCTTAGATCTAACCATTCTTTTATCTAAAATGGGGTTTTGTATCCTGTTTTTCCCCTTCTATCCTGTACGCAGTAATATACAAAGGATGCTAAAAGCACATAGCATTCTGGCACTTGAGGAGGCAGATGCAGGCAGATCACTGTGAGTTCCAGGCAGGCCTGGTCTACAAAGCAAGTCCAGAACCGCCAATGCTATACAGAGAAATCCTGTCTCAAAAAACAAACAAACAAAATCCACAAAGCATTTTATTTTCTGCCTGATCCCCTCCATTCAGCAAATTCAGGGAGAAAAGGAATACATTTGCTCTCCTTCAGTACCCAAGAGCCCAGAATCTAACAGCTGATCTCTAAGTATTTACTGAATAAATATTTGTTCAAATATGCTCTCTTGAGCAGGGCATGGTGGTACACACCTTTAATCCCAGCACACTTTAATCCCAGGCATGGGGATGTCTTTGAGTTCAAGTCCAGCCTGGTCCACAGAGCAAGTCCAGGACAGCCAAGGCTACACAAAGAAACCGTGCCTCGAAAGAAAGAAAGAAAGAAAGAAAGAAAGAAAGAAAGAAAGAAAGAAAGA